GAAGGCATTTTTGGTAGCCCTCCATGGAGACTGACACTCGTGCTTATGAGGCAGCCTGTTCAGTTTGCACCTGGTGAAAATCATCACACCGCCCTCCTGAGGGTTTGCTGCAGCCCTTGCCCATCCCAAGCCGGCCCTGGTCCCATGTTGCTCTGGACTTTGTGACTAGATTACCTCTCAAGGTAACGCCGTCATACTCATCATTGTTGACCATTTTTTCAAAAGCTGCATGGCATCCCACTGGATATTGGCACTGCCTAAAACCATGAGGATTCACCCCAGCTTCCATGTTTCCCAAATTAAGCCAGTGTCTTTCAGCCCCTTGTGCTGACTCTGAGTGGGTTCCTCCTTATCATGAGCTGAAAACATGACAATGATGAAAAATATGACAGGTGTATTCTCTTTTAACTCTTCTAGCTTGCTCACAACTCAGGAATGTCTGTTCTACAAAAACAGCTAAAGCAAATCTTCTATTGTCAACTGATGAGGCGTTTGTTTAAACAGTAAAATGAGAACATTCGTTGACGTATCGACAATTTTTATATACTGATTATGTCCATATATGCTCTGTACTTGTATAGCGCCTTTCTAGTGTTTTCGACCACTCAAAGCGCTTTTACACTACATCTGCATTCACCATAAACTCACATTTATATACTGAGCCTAAGTGCTCAAACAGAAACTAGAGAAGCCAGGGATTAAACCGCCGACCTTCCGATTAACGGGCAACCCGCTCTACCTCCGGAGCCACAGCCGCCCCGTAGAGAGGGGATTGTGGTGGCAGAAAATCTCTTCCCATGTTGCGTTTCATCTATTAAGCATATTTGTTCAATCTCCCAAAGGGAATAGATTAATTTCCACGACAGAACGGACGAGCGGGTTCCTTCCAACCTCACCGTATACGGTAACCCTAACACCCAAGCCCAGACGGACTGAGCAGGCCCACATCTTGGAATTTAAACACCAGATCATTGGTACGGTGTATTGAAGGCAGCAGCCTGACAGAGATGTTGAAGAGAAGTAATGGAGCTAAGAAAGAACGCTATCACACATGTAGGTTTAGACTCTGCTCTCAAAGCATTACATTGGTGTCAGAGCACTTCCACCAGTAATCATTTAGACACGTTACAGGTGTTTCTGGTGAACAGGTACAAAGTGTCAGTGACAGATAACAGATTTCAGTAAAAACAGAGCTAATCTCACTTTAAGCCTCCCCGACTCGAGGTGGAATTCCATCAGAGCCTTGACGGATCTAAACACTTGATCCACATCACGTTGCAAGTGCCAGTTCAGTTCATCAGCAAATAAAAGGCTGTTGTTATTGTGAACACTGATTCTCAGTGTAAAATCAGTCATTTCTTGGAGCCTTTTCGAACCTGCCTTTAGTCACAGTCTCTGTAATTGTTCTGCAGTTTGTTCCCTGTATTAGACACAGACTGGACACAAATGTGTTTTACATGATCTACAAAAGTAAATCAGTTTACAAATGCACACATCACATCACCTGAAGAAGGATTAATATTGACAGATAGTGTACAAATGTCTAACAGCGTTTGAGACATTCTTCTGTGTTTCTTACAGATTGTTAAATGTGTGTGTGCACGGATCAGGTTACATTTGAAACTCTGTCTTTGAGAGTCTCCTGCTCCACACAGATCCTTTCAAAGAGGGAAAGACGTTTTTCTAAATAGAATATAAAACATGTGTATTAAAAAAGATGTATGTTTAAAGAATAAAGAGACTATGTGCAACATTCACTGTGTATATTTACTTTCAGACCAGCAGCTGAGCAGGACTAGAGATAATAATAAATATCAGATAAATTGAAATTTCCTGCATTCACTCACCGTGCTCCGTCTTTTTGTTTCCACCATGTTTAATAAACTGTTTTCATCCTCTAGTATCCCGTCAGGGTGCTGGTTGCTTTCTAGATGACAGCGACACCTAGTGTTTAAAGCAGCATGTGAAACAGACACTTTCATCTGCCTGTCAGATATCTGAACATGGTTACTATGGATACTCCCTCTCCTCTGCTGCAGCACCACCTGGTGGAGGAAACACTCACCTGCAGTCAGCGTGCCCACTGATCAAACTATCTAAAACCAGGATAAAAACCAGGGCTGACTGGGCTTTTTCAGCGAAGGTCTGAAGTCCACAAGTTTCATTATAAACAGGGTGGATGAAGCTGAAAAGGTTCAGGAGGGGGTCAACGTTGAAGTTTAGAGGGAAACAAGTACTGCAGATCGCTGAAGTGAACTGTTTAGCAATAATAATAATAATAATACTAATAACAATAATAAATAATAATAAATAGCCTAATAACAACAACAACATCTACATTTGTTGGACAAACTCTGACAGCTACACTGGTGTTAACCTCCCACGCTGAATAAGATGTTAGTTGAGTCGGTGTAACTTAACCGGAATAAAAGCAGCATGTTCAGAGTTTTTTCATAACAGCGCATGCTCTGTATTTTCCCCAGAAGAAAATATCTGAGTTTGTTCTTGTAAATTTACCACTTTCATCCCGGTTTATTAACCCACCCTGGCTCCGTATTCTTTGGAAACATAAAACATTCAATCTAAAAATGTGAAAACATTAATGATAATTCAACACAGACAGGCTGCATCTCAGAACTGGCCCATTATTTAATTCAGGCTGCCTGTATGAACGTGATGTCGTTCAGAATAACTTCATTTCGGTCAGGATGAGATCTAAACTCTAGTTCATCCTCAGCGCTGCTCCACTGATCGTAGTTTATTTCTGTTTTTCATGATTATTACTGTATACTGTAGAAGGGAGTTACAAACTTAATGTCACTTTACAACCTGTTTTACTGGCACAAATAAACCTACCGTCTCACACTGAGTATAAATGCTCATGTTTCCAGGGTGACCTCGAGTTAACCACGAAGACTGCCTGCTTGCTGCAACTTAGAGATGCAGCGAGCAGATAATCTGTCAGCAGACAGCAGACCTCTGGTAACACTTATTCACCTTTCATCATCAGGTTCAATCAGGAAGTCACACCCGACACCGCAGAGTTCCTCCTGAAGTTACCTGGATCACACAGGTACCTCACTTTGTACTTTATGAACCTGTGGTGTGAATGTCTGTCAGAGTGAAAGTGTCTCAGTGGCCCCAGCTCCATGTGAACAGACTGAAACACCGTGTGGTCTGGGGTCAGAGGTTTCGTTTCCTGTTCTCAGTTTGTGTTCGAGTCTCCTTCATTTACATTCTCTGGTGTCGTCTTTCAGGCTCTGTCTTCTGATGTGACTCGGACAGGTAGGACCAAACTCTCTGACCCTCGGTACTTATTTATTACATACTGTATATCATAGATCTCTGTGTTCTGGGACAGGGGCACTCAGCAGTGGTAGAAGTATTCACAACTTTTACTTCAGTCAAAGTAGAAATACAACAATTATGAAATACACAAAAATTCCTGCATACAAAATCTACTTATCTACTCAAATCTACTTAAGTATTACAAGGAAAAAGTATAAAAGTAAAAGTACTTACCGTACAGCCAACGTTTCAGTGTTACATTTTTATTTAATGCTGGATAAGAATTACTGATGCTTGAACACGGAAGCACCATTTTAAAACTGTAGCCGCCTGCTTTCACTCATTTTATACTGAAGTTGTTAAATTTACTGTTTATCAGTCAAACATTCAAATTCTGTCAGCGGTGGAACGGAATACACGTTTTCTACTTTCAGAGGTTCAACAATTGTGTCAAAGTCAGATCTTCATCTGAGAGTAAAACTTTACAGTATCTCACAAAAGTGAGTCCACCCCTCACATTTTAGGAAATATCTGATTCTACCTTTTGATGCTTCAACACAGAAGAAATGACACTTTGCTCCAGTGTAAAGTAGTGAGCGTGCAGCTGGTATAACAGTGTAAAGTAGTGAGCGTACAGCTTGTGTAACAGTGTAAAGTAGTGAGCGTACAGCTTGTATAACAGTGTAAAGTAGTGAGCGTGCAGCTTGTATAACAGTGTAAAGTAGTGAGCGTACAGCTTGTGTAACAGTGTAAAGTAGTGAGCGTACAGCTTGTATAACAGTGTAAAGTAGTGAGCGTGCAGCTTGTATAACAGTGTAAAGTAGTGAGCGTACAGCTTGTATAACAGTGTAAAGTAGTGAGCATACAGCTTGTATAACAGTATAAAGTAGTGAGCGTACAGCTTGTGTAACAGTGTAAAGTAGTGAGCGTACAGCTTGTGTAACAGTGTAAAGTAGTGAGCGTACAGCTTGTATAACAGTGTAAAGTAGTGAGCGTGCAGCTTGTATAACAGTGTAAAGTAGTGAGCGTACAGCTTGTATAACAGTGTAAAGTAGTGAGCGTGCAGCTTGTATAACAGTGTAAAGTAGTGAGCGTGCAGCTTGTATAACAGTGTAAAGTAGTGAGCGTACAGCTTGTATAACAGTGTAAAGTAGTGAGCGTACAGCTTGTATAACAGTGTAAAGTAGTGAGCATACAGCTTGTATAACAGTGTAAAGTAGTGAGCGTACAGCTTGTGTAACAGTGTAAAGTAGTGAGCGTACAGCTTGTATAACAGTGTAAAGTAGTGAGCGTGCAGCTTGTATAACAGTGTAAAGTAGTGAGCGTACAGCTTGTGTAACAGTGTAAAGTAGTGAGCATACAGCTTGTATAACAGTGTAAAGTAGTGAGCGTACAGCTTGTGTAACAGTGTAAAGTAGTGAGCGTGCAGCTTGTATAACAGTGTAAAGTAGTGAGCGTACAGCTTGTATAACAGTGTAAAGTAGTGAGCGTGCAGCTTGTATAACAGTGTAAAGTAGTGAGCGTGCAGCTTGTATAACAGTGTAAAGTAGTGAGCGTACAGCTTGTATAACAGTGTAAAGTAGTGAGCATACAGCTTGTATAACAGTGTAAAGTAGTGAGCGTGCAGCTTGTATAACAGTGTAAAGTAGTGAGCGTACAGCTTGTATAACAGTGTAAAGTAGTGAGCGTGCAGCTTGTATAACAGTGTAAAGTAGTGCAGCTTGTATAACAGTGTAAATCTGCTGTCCCCTCAAAATAACACATCACACAGCCGTCAATGTCAAAACTGCTGGTAACAAAAGGGAGGACACCCCTAAGTGAAAATGTCCAAAGTGTGAATATTTTGTGGCCTCCATTATTCATATTTCCATTGTAGCAAAGTTTCTTCAGTGTTGATATATGATACGATGTAATCAGATATTTACAGAAATGTGGTGGGTGGACTCTGTGAGATACTGTAGAGTGAAGAAGAATATTTCCCTCTTAGATAAGATTCAGGTCGGCTCAGCAGTACATCACTCTGAGATATTATCATCATAGAGTACGGTCTAGACCTGCTCTTTTATGAAAAGCGCTGTGAGATAACTGTTGTTGTGATTTGGCGCTATATAAATAAAATTGAATTGAACTGAATTGAATTGAGATGTAGTAGAAGTACACAGTAGCATAAAAGGGAAATACTCAAGTACATGACAGTTGTCCTTAAGCAGTAATTGAGTACCTTGCTGCTGGGATCGAGTTCATTTGAACAGACTCCACTGTTACATCTCACAGCGTCACTTTTAGGGACACAGACTGACCCTGACCTGAACACCTGGACCAAAAATCAGCCTGGTCAAACTGGGGACGTTTGACAAGCCGTCTTCAGTCAGCTGGTCTGAGGTCTGTGGAACAGGTAGCGTATGTCACCCCCCCCCCCCACACACACACACACATTCACCTCTGAAAGTGTGCGTTTCCTCCTCAGAGTGATTGACAGCTCAGGGGGGTGGAGCCAGAAGGGTCCTGCAGCTGCAGAGTTGACTTCAGACGGCGGCCATGTTGTTTCTGGCCAGGTTACTGATCCTGATGATGATGATGAAGAGTGACGGTCAGTCGGTTTTGATCTGAGAATGGGAAACATTTAGTTTGTTGCTTTCTGTCATTCATATATAGCGTTTTTATGGTAACAGGATTTTCAGTTCAGTCCCTCACTTTAAACCTGGATTCTGAACCTGCACTTCAGTAAAAGTAGGGGAGGGCGGGGGCAAAAGTACCGTTTTTCAGAAGAACCTGATTTTAAAAGATAATGTTTCAGGCAGAGATATATTTTTGCTGTGGTCACTAACTCACAGATGTGGTCTTTCAATATCAGGTGGTATTTTGTACAAATGTACAACGACTTCCGTATAATTTCACTTTAAACAGAAGTGGCGCAAAAGTAAGTAGTTTTTTGCATTACCCTTGTATTTAATAAACATGTGACCTTGTTAATGTGTAACTGCAAACATATTTTGTCCTAAAAACCATATTAAATGAATTTTATTTTGAATATTCAGTTTCAAAAGTAACCTGACAGCCCAAACTTGAATTGTTTAGAATATTTCATAGGATATTAAATTATAAATATATAATATAAATATGCACCTAAAACAGGGGGGAAATGGTTAGGTGGAGATTGTTTATGAACCTGGCGTGATTAAAATTAAATAAGACTTTACTGATCTGCACTGGAGATATTTGCATGTTGTTTCAGAAACAGTGAAAAAATACATAAAAACATAATTTAGAAAGATAGAACAAAAATGAAAATCAACAAAAAATTATAAAGCTATATTACAGTCAGGGTGCGAATTATACAGTGACAACCGGGGTCAGGGTTTCCTGGTCAAAAAGGACACCCAGCACTGCGCAGCAGGAGCAGGCTTCAGTAAGCTAAAATCTTACAAAGCTTACAATATCCTTGCTTATTTAACTGATGTGTGCAGTTTGTAGATGATAAATCAAATTCATTACACCGGTTGATGGGTGCCTCGTACCACACGACAGCTTCTGTAGTCAGAGGTCACTATTCAACAGCCAAACTGCCAGAAAGTCAGACACACAACAGCAGACCATCATGAAAACAGACCCACACAATGCTGAACCACAAGCAAAGACAGTCTGGTTTGTGGTGTACTGATCGATATTGACTGACGTGCAGAATTAGATACGGTTGATGGCAGCCGTTTTTTTCATCACATCCTTTGACATGGTTTGATTCTTAATAATAACCTGTGAGTCGAGCACAGTTTCCTCTGGTGAACCACAGAGCTACCTGCTCGGCTCCTCTGTATATTTATTTATATTTGGTAAAACTATTCGTGTTCGTTGCTATGCTGATGATTTTATATTCTATATGTGTTATTAAAACAGGACACCTTCTCATCACAATAAAATCACCCTGATTATTGTTGATATTCTAACCATGATTGAGTCTGGTGGCTTTTATGTATGTGTTTGTGGGCATGTCTTTTGGTATTGATGTGGGTAAGATCTAGACTGTGAGTCTGTAATAAAGGTTTCTGATTGTTGGACCAACACAGACGTCTGTTTGTCCTGTAGTGGTAAAGTTCCTGTTGCACACCAGCTTCTTCTGGTTTCTTAATATTGTGATAATTTTAAATCTATTTTGACTTCACCTCAGTCGTGTGATAAACTGTGTGTGACCTCTGACCCCAGCTGCCTCTGCAGAGACCATCATGGCCCACAGCGGCGAGGCGGTCCTGCTGGACCCGAACCTGACAGGGCCGGTGAACAATAAATGGGACTTTCGATGGACTCAGCTTCCCAGCCAGTTGTTGACCCCGAAGAACAACAACAGGACCTGTGGCGGCGGACGCTGTGAGCTGCTGAGAAACGGCTCGCTGAGATTCAGCCGAGTTCAGACCGCTGACGCAGGAAACTACAGCCTGCAGGTGTTTGATGAAGGAGGGAAACGAAAGATGGACAAGGTCATCCTGCTCAGGGTGGAGTCCAGAGACACCAGAGGTAGAGTAGCCAAAAACTACTACTGTTACTCACAGCATCAAAAAGAAATACTCAGGTAGAAGTACAAGATGATAACTACCTGAGTAAGAGTACAAAAGAATTTACTGAAAAAAATTATTTGAGTAGCGCATGACTTTAGAAATACAATCTTTTATCTGATGCGGATGTGACTGGAATGATTTCAGCTACAGACGGTCTTCCTGAGATAAAGGTAAAGAACACACACCTGGATCTATATGTGATGAGACATTCAGTCATCATCTCCTGATCAGAGAACCTGCCACATGAACACCAGGACAGTTTTCCCAGCGTGTGGCCACAAAATACTACATTAATATTATAGTCTGTTAAACACGGCAATAGGTAAAGACCGTTTCAAAATATACATTATTTATTATTGTCTCCTATAATAAATGATTTACAGACAAATGAAATTAGCAGATGACGCTGTGCTGGTTCATAATTTCTTGCCTATTAATTACAGGTGTTCACATTTACCTGAGGGAGAACATCTGTGGTCACATGAAATAAAACCAGTTTGTCTTTGTGTGTGTGAATAATCTGCTCTCTCTTCATCACACTAGTTAATAAATGCAGACCGCTCCACTGTTAGCCTGAAGATTTCCATGAAGTTTTTCCATTTCCAGTTTTGAAGCTTGATATTTATTATGAAACATATAAACTCAACAGACGCCGCTCTCTGTCGGCTCTGCTGTAACGTTACTGACTGCAGCCGGCCGCACCAACACGGTCTCATCCCAGGACGTCAAATACCGACGCTGTGAGAAAGCCTGACGAAGCGTCAGCATGGACGCCCTCAACACGTTCTCACTCCCGCGTCGTCACATAAGGACGCGCGGTCGAGACCCGCTGGTGTCAGTTTGTAACGCACTGGGGATCTTGTTAGTGTCAGTTTTCAACGCTAAAGGCAGGATGTAGGATATCTAACAGAAAAGTCAGAGTAAGGAGGTGGCTGCGGAGGACGGCTGGCCAAACACCGGACTTTCACCCAGGAGACTGGTGTTCGTTTCCCGTGTGAAACAAAAGGTCAACATTGAACCTCTTTATTGAGGTTTCGTAGGTTATGCAGCTTTAGTAGGAAACATAATAAGCCCTAATGTCATTATTTCATCTTTTCCTAAACCAAACCAAGATGATGGCGGCGGCGGCGGCGGCGGCGGCAGCAGCAGTGTGGTGGTGTCTGTTTTAACCTGCTGCTTCCTCCTGATGCTGCTCTTCATCATCTTCTTCATCTTGAGGAGGAGGAAGAGTCAGATGATGAGGACTACAGGTACAACAGCCAATCAGAGACAGCCTGAGCTCTTACATAAAGACCTGGGGCCGTATTACAGAAACTTCATATCTAAAGTCTTAAGTTACGAGAGGATGAGTCTAAGACAGGATTTTTCCCAATTTGGTATTACAGAAGCAAATCTAACCAAACTAACTTTAGGAATCCTGTCTTATCTCAGGGAAGGGAATCCTAAATTCTTAATCAAACACCACGTACCCATTTTCTTGTTGGTTACCTAGCAACCAATGGTACCTCTCCTCGGGAAAATGAATTATGGCGATAATAAAGGCTGCGGGCTAACGGTACCATGTTTTTCATAGTTTTTCTTGATTTCCTCCTATCGTAGAGCCTTTCTCCAAACGAGTGTTTTGTTATCAAAGCAACACATCGTTAAGTTATAAGTTCTATCTGTATACATTGTGTTGGTTTTGTAATATAGCTCCTGGTTCCTCTAAACTCTCAGCAGATGAACATTAATAAGAAGTCAGATTATAATCTGCTCTCCTGCTTCAGGTCCACCACAGGAAAATGTTTATGTGGTGATGCACACTAGCCATAGCAACGAGGGGAAAGACGAGGAGGAGCCACAATGTAGTTATGGTAACGCACACATGCAAACACACAGTAACATATGCTAGCAGACAATATAAGATGCCAACTGGTTCTTCACTGTAATCATGTTGTTTCCATGGAAAAACCAATCACACAGCAGACGTCTGTGGATGTAGAAGACATCTACGTGTGACGACCAATCAGAGCTCATGTTGTTTTTAGCTTGCTGTGTCTTACCTGTACACCACAACTCACCTTTAGTTTCCATCCACTGTCTCTTATCTGCTCTGTATTTTAGCTACAGATGTTGGGAACTAGTTGCAAAAGTTGGGAACTAGTTACAGAGGTCAATGACTGACTGCTGAGGTCTGGGACTAGCTGCTGAGATTGGGGACTAAGAAATCACAAGATTCAAATTTACTCTATTGCTTCAGGTCCTTTGGAAGAAAATGTTGAAGTGATGATGTGTGACGCGAAAGATGACAAGCACAAGACAGAGCAGAAGTCTAGTTATGGTAACACACACACACACACACACACACACACACACACATCATACGCATACAATGCTATAAGATACTAATTTGTTCTGCTCTCAACATTTCACAGTAATCCTTTTGTTTCCATGGAAACACCAATCACACAGCAGATGTCTGTAGACATAGAAGAAATCTAAGTGTGACAACCAATCAGAGCTCATCTTGTTTTTAGCTTGCTGTGTCTTACCCGTATTCCACCACCGACCTTCAGATTCCCACACTGTTTACCTGTTGTGCATTTTAGCAAAGAGCTCTGGGGACTAGCTGAAAAGGTCTGATGAAGTAGTTGCATATGTCTGGGGACTAGTTTCAGAGATTGGGAACTAGCTGCAGATGTCGGGGACTAGCTGCAGAGATTAGGGACTGCATATTAGTTGCACATATCAGGGAACTAGTTGCAGAGGTCTGGGAACTAGTAACTAGCTGTAGAGTTCAAGGACTAGCTGCGGAGTTCAAGGACTAGCTGCAGAGGTCGGGGACTAATAACTAGATGCGGAGTTCGAGGACTAGCTGCAGAGGTCGGGGACTAATAACTAGCTGCGGAGTTCAAGGACTAGCTGCGGAGTTCGAGGACTAGCTGCAGAGGTCGGGGACTAGTAACTGGCTGCGGAGTTCGAGGACTAGCTGCAGAGGTCAGGGACTAGCCGCGGAGTTCAAGGACTAGCTGCAGAGGTCGGGGACTAGTAACTAACTGCGGAGTTCGAGGACTAGCTGCAGAGGTCGGGGCTAGTAACTAACTGCGGAGTTCGAGGACTAGCTGCAGAGGTCGGGGACTAGTAACTAGCCGCGGAGTTCGAGGACTAGCTGCAGAGGTCGGGGACTAGTAACTAGCCGCGGAGTTCGAGGACTAGCTGCAGAGGTCGGGGACTAGTAACTAGCCGCGGAGTTCGAGGACTAGCTGCAGAGGTCGGGGGCTAGTAACTAGCCGCGGAGTTCGAGGACTAGCTGCAGAGGTCGGGGACTAGTAACTAGCCGCGGAGTTCGAGGACTAGCTGCAGAGGTCGGGGACTAGTAACTGGCTGCGGAGTTCGAGGACTAGCTGCAGAGGTCGGGGACTAGTAACTAACTGCGGAGTTCGAGGACTAGTTGCAGAGGTCGGAGACTAGCTGCAGAGGTCGGGAACTAGCCGCGGAGTTTGAGGACTAGCTGCAGAGGTCGGGGGCTAGTAACTAGCTGCGGAGCTCGAGGACTAGTTGCAGAGGTCGGAGACTAGCTGCAGAGGTCGGGAACTAGCCGCGGAGTTCGAGGACTAGCTGCAGAGGTCGGGGGCTAGTAACTAGCTGCGGAGTTCGAGGACTAGTTGCAGAGGTTGGAGACTAGCTGCAGAGGTCGGGAACTAGCCGCGGAGTTCGAGGACTAGCTGCAGAGGTCGGGGACTAGTTGCAGAGGTCGGAGACTTGTTGCAGAGGTTGGAGATTAGTTGCAGAGGTCGGGGACTAGCTGCAGAGGTCGGAGACTTGTTGCAGAGGTTGGTGATTAGTTGCAGAGGTCGGGGACTAGCAGCAGAAGTCGGAGACTTGTTGCAGAGGTTGGGGACTGAAAAGTCAATAGATTAAAATCTGCAACTCTCTCTCTCGCTTTAAGATCCTTGGGAGAAAAATGTTTATGAGATGATGCACGTCACCAACAAGGGGAAAGACGAGGAGGAAGGGAAGCACCAGAGAGAGCAGGGCTCTAGTTATGGTAACACACACACAAACATACAGTAACAAATGCTAACAGATGCTATATAATGCTAACATGTTCTACTCAATAGTTCACATTAATCCTCTTGTTTCCATGGAATCAGAATCAGCTTTATTGCCAGGTATGTGTACACACAAATGAGGAATTTGACTCAGGATTGTACATTGCTGACGATTTGCTTACTCATACAATAATACAATAAAACAATAACATAAAATAACAGCTGATGTCTGTGGATGTAGAAGACATCTGCATGTGATGACCAATTAGAGCTCATCTTGTTTTTAGTTTGCTGTGTCTTACCTGTACACCACAGGTGCAGAGGTCAGAGACTTGTTGCAGCGGTGGGGGACTTAATGCAGATGTCCAGGAACTAGTTGTAGATGTCTGGGGACTAGCTGCAGAAGTTGGGGACTAGTTGCAGAGGAAAGGGACTGGTTGCAGAGGTTGGGGACTGCATATTAATTGCAGACGTCCGGGAACTAGTTGCAGATGTCTGGGAACTAGTTGCAGAGGTCGGGGACTAGCTGCAGAGGTCCGGAGACTAGTTGTAGATGTCTGGGAACTAGTTGCAGAAGTTGGGGACTAGTTGCAGAGGAAGGGGACTGTATATTAATTGCAGACATTCGGGACCTAGTTGCAGATGTCTGGGAACTAGTTGCAGAGGTCGGGCATTAGTTGCAGAGGTCGGGGACTAGCTGCAGAGGTCGGGGACTTGTTGCAGAGGTTGGTGATTAGTTGCAGAGGTCGGGGACTAGCTGCAGAGGTCGGAGACTTGTTGCAGGGGTTGGCGATTAGTTGCAGAGGTCGGGGACTAGCTGCAGAAGTCGGAGACTTGTTGCAGAGGTTGGGGACTGAAAAGTCAATAGATTAAAATCTGCAACTCTCTCTCTCGCTTTAAGATCCTTGGGAGAAAAATGTTTATGAGATGATGCACGTCACCAACAAGGGGAAAGACGAGGAGGAAGGGAAGCACCAGAGAGAGCAGGGCTCTAGTTATGGTAACACACACACAAACATACAGTAACAAATGCTAACAGATGCTATATAATGCTAACATGTTCTACTCAATAGTTAATCCTCTTGTTTCCATGGAATCAGAATCAGCTTTATTGCCAGGTATGTGTACACACAAATGAGGAATTTGACTCAGGATTGTACACTGCTGACGATTTGCTTACTCATACAGTAATACAATAAAACAAAAATAACATAAAATAACAGCTGATGTCTGTGGATGTAGAAGACATCTGCATGTGATGACCAATTAGAGCTCATCTTGTTTTTAGCTTGCTGTGTCTTACCTGTACACCACAACTCACCTTTAGGTGCAGAGGTCAGAGACTTGTTGCAGCGGTGGGGGACTTATTGCTGATGTCCGGGGACTAGTTGCAGTTGTCTGGGGACTAGTTGCAGATGTCTGGGGACTAATTGCAGAAGTTGGGGACTAGTTGCAGAGGAAGGGGACTGGTTGCAGAGGTTGGGGACTGCATATTAATTGCAGACGTCCGGGAACTAATTGCAGATGTCTGGGAACTAAAAAAATGTTTATGAGATGATGCACGTCACCAACAAGGGGAAAGACGAGGAGGAAGGGAAGCACCAGAGAGAGCAGGGCTCTAGTTATGGTAACACACACACAAACATACAGTAACATATGCTAACAGATGCTATATAATGCTAACATGTTCTACTCAATAGTTCACATTAATCCTCTTGTTTCCATGGAATCAGAATCAGCTTTATTGCCAGGTATGTGTACACACAAATGAGGAATTTGACTCAGGATTGTACACTGCTGACGATGTGCTTACTCATACAATAAAACAATAATAACATAAAATAACAGCAGATGTCTGTGCATGTAGAAGACATCTACATGTGATGACCAATTGGAGATCATCTTGTTTTTAGCTTGCTGTGTCTTACCTGTACACCACAACTCACATTTAGGTGTATAGGTCAGAGACTTGTTGCAGCGGTGGGGGACTTATTGCTGATGTCCGGGGACTAGTTGCAGTTGTCTGGGAACTAGTTGCAGATGTCTGGGGACTAATTGCAAAGGTTGAGAACATGTTACAGAGGTCAGGACTGCATATTAATTGCAGATGTCTGGTAACTAGTTGCAGAAGTCAGTAGATTAAAATCTGCTCTCTTGCTTCAGATCCTTTGAAGAAAAATGTATATGAGATGATGCATGTCACCAACAAGGGGAAAGACGAGGAGGAAGGGAAGCACCAGAGAGAGCAGGACTCTATTTATGGTAACACATACACAAAATTACAGTAACAGATGCTAAATAATGCTAACTTGTTCTACTCTAAACAGCTCACTGTAATCCTGTTCTTACCATAGAAACACCAATCACAAAGCAGATGTCTGTGGATGTGGAAGACATCTACGTGTGACGACCAATCAGAGCTCATGTTGTTTTTAGCTTGCTGTGTCTCACCTGTACACCCCAACTAACCTTTAGTTTCCATCCACTGTCTTACCGGTTGTGCATTTTTCAGTTTCTTATTTTTATTTAAAAAAATAAAGTAAACTTGTATGAACCTTCCAGATGATTCTGTTATTTTTGTTTTGGTGCAACTTCTGGACTAGCTACAGTACTCTGAGGACTAGCTGCAAAGGTCAGACACACTAGCAAATGTTTGAGAACTCACTTACAGATGTCTGGGAACTAGTTGCAGAGGTTGGGGACTAGTTGCAGAGGCCAAGACCAGTAGCAGATTTATGGGAACTAGTTGTATAGGTTAGGGACTAGTAGCAAATGTCTGGGGACTAGTTAGAGACCAGGGCCACTTGCAGATGTCTGTGAACTAGGTGAGCAGGTTGGGGACTAGTTGCAGAGGCCAGGATCAGTTGCAGATGTCTGGGAAGTATTTGGAGAGGTCGGGGACTAGTTGCAGAGGTTGGGGACTAGTTGGGGACTTACTTTTATTAAAAAAAATAAAGTAAACTTGTATGAACCTTCCAGATGATTCTGTTATTTTTGTTTTGTTGCAACTTCTGGACTAGCTACAGTACTCTGGGGACTAGCTGCAAAAGTCAGACACACTAGCAAATGTCTAAAAACTCGTTGCAGATGTCTGGGAACAAGCTGCAGAGGTTGGGGACATTTTGCAGAGGTCAGGACCAGTTGCAGATGTCTGGGAACTAGTTGCAGATGGTGGAACTAGTTGCAGAGGTCAGGACCATTTGCAGATGTCTGAACTAGTTGCAGAGGTTGGGGACTAGTTGCAGAGGCCTGGGCCTGTTGCAGATGTCTGGGAACTAGGTGCAGAGGCCAGGGACTAGTTGCAAAAGTTCGGGAACTAGTTATGTTGGGACTAGTTGCAGAGGTTGGGGACTAGTTGCAGAGGTCGGGAACTAGTTGCAGAGGTCGGGAACTAGTTGCAGATGGTGGAACTAGTTGCTGAGGTCAGGACCAGTTACAGATGTCTGTGAAGTAGTTGCAGAGGTCGGAGACTAGTTGCAGAGGTCGGGAACTGCAGGTGCTGGTAATATAATTAGAATATCATCAAAAAGTTGATTTATTTCAGTAATTCCATTCAAAAATAATAATTCATTCATTCCACACAGACTGATACATTTGAAATGTTTATTTCATTTAATTGTGATGATAAAAACCGACAACTAATGAAAATCCCAAATTCAGTATCTCCGAAAATTCGAATATTACTTAAGACCAATAAAAAAAAAAGGATTTTTAGAAATGTTGGCCAACTGAAAAGTATGAACTTGAAAAGTATGAGCATGTACAGCACTCAATACTTAGTTGGGGCTCCTTTTGCCTGAAAGACTGCAGCAACGCGGCGTGGCATGGAGTCGATCAGTCTGTGGCACTGCTCAGGTGTTATGAGAGCCCAGGTTGCTCTGATAGTGGCCTTCAGCTCTTCTGCATTGTTGGGTCTGGTGTATCGCATCTTCCTCTTCACAATAACCCCTAGATTTTCTATAGGGTTAAGGTCAGGCGAGGTTGCTAGCCAATTAAGAACAGGGATACCATGGTCCTTAAACCAGGTACTGGTAGCTTTGGCACTGTCTGCAGGTGCCAAGTCCTGTTGGAAAATGAAATCTGCATCTCCATAAAGTTGGTCAGCAGCAGGAAGCATGAAGTGCTCTAAAACTTCCTGGTAGACGGCTGCATTGACCTTGGACCTCAGAAAACACAGTGGACCAACAGCAGCAGATGACATGGCACCCCAAACCATCACTGACTGTGGAAACTTCACACTGGACTTCAAGCAACGTGGATTCTGTGCCTCTCCTCTCTTCCTCCAGACTCTGGGACCTTGATTTCCAAAGGAAATGCAAAATTTACTTTCGTCAGAGAACATAACTTTGGACCACTCAGCAGCAGTCCAGTCCTTTTTGTCTTTAGCCCAAGTGAGACGTTTCTGACACTGTGTCTTGTTCAAGAGTGGCTCGACACAAGGAATGCGACAGCTGAAACCCATGTCTTGCATACGTCTGTGTGTGGTGGTTCTTGAAGCACTGACTCCAGCTGCAGTCCACTCTTTGTGAATCTCCCCCACATTTTTGAATGGGTTTTGTTTCTCAATCCTCTCCAGGGTGCGGTTATCCCTATTGCTTGTACACTTTTTTTCTACCACATCTTTTCCTTCCCTTCACCTCTCTATTAATGTGCTTGGACACAGAGCTCTGTGAACAGCCAGCCTCTTTAGCAATGACCTTTTGTGTCTTGCTCTCCTTGTGCAAGGTGTCAATGGTCGTCTTTTGGACAGCTGTCAAGTCAGCAGTCTTCCCCATGATTGTGTAGCCTACAGAACTAGACTGAGAGACCATTTAAAGGTCTTTGCAGGTGTTTTGAGTTAATTAGCTGATTAGAGTGTGGCACCAGGTGTCTTCAATATTGAACCTTTTCACAATATTCTAATTTTCTGAGAAACTGATTTGAGGGTTTTCATTAGTTGTCAGTTATAATCATCAAAATTAAAATGAACACTTGAAATATCTCAGTCTGTGTGGAATGAATGTATACATTATATAAGTTTCACTTTTTGAATGGAATTACTGACACGAATCAACTTTTTGATGATATTCTAATTATATGACCAGCACCTGTAGTTGTAGATGGTGGGACTAGTTGCAGAGGTCTGGAACTAGTTTCAGAGGCCAGGACCAATTGCAGATGTCTGGGAGTAGTTGCTAACGTTGGTGCACAGCTCAGCGTGTTTCTTCACCAGTGTTTGAGGGGTGCCACACTAGCCGCTAGGCGGGCATTATGCAGCGTGTTAATGACGCAGAGAGGTTGCCTTTCAAAAACTTTATATTATACAATATTTAAGAGACCCGCCAAGTTATATTATTATTAAGTGGAATTGTTTCACAGTGACTTTATGTTTCACAGTGACTTTATGTTAGCCAGCGAATGATGACCACATTCTTAATCACACAAAAAGTGATTGATGGGTTGTTTCCCCAGCTTGGGAACCTACCATCAGTGACCATCATTATTTGGCTTTGTGAGTATGCAATCAAACTAAGAGTACCATGATGTGGTGGAAATAGTTTCTTTCACCGGGTGGTGAGGAATTAAATAGTTAAATAAGCTATAACGAGTAGTTGTTTTTTGATATTTATTAAAGGAAAAATTAGAACAGAGAAGTACTCCACAGATTCACTTAGGCCAGTGGTCCCACCCCCGCTTGGAGTGTCTGGCCCAGAGAAAAGAAGTACATAAAGATTTAAGACAGTGGAATATTTGGTCTTACTCAGCCTTGAAACACATGAGCAGAGACAAGCCAAAACAATTCCACAACTACTCAGTCTAACATAAAAACAGGTTTGGCATAGTGGACACAACAGTTGGCAAAACACATGGTAGTACCAGGGTAAGATAGCATGGCACTTCAGTTGGTACCAACACCCAGTTTGGAGAGTACTTCAAGAAATGGAAGTATTCTTGTTGTTTGTGCATCTGTTTAGACACATTTTCCCAGAATCAAGTTCTCAGAGTTTGAACACAGTCAGGCTACAGAGCTGTCCAGCTGGACACAGCGGAGGGTCCAGCAGAGTTTACAAGCTTTAGTTTAGTTTCAGAGTCTCATGAAACTTCAGAATGTCTTCTTTGGAGTCGGTTGACACTATCTGCTCCACAACCTGACGGACTCCACTCTCCAAAGCATGATAGTAGCGCTTCACCTCCTGCAGCTCAGACTGCAGTCGTTCCTCCACCTTGTGATGCTCCTGCTGAGCTTCACTCAGCTTCTTCTCGTACTTGGACTCCACAGCTTTTATTTTCTCCTCCAGTTTCTTCTGGTAGAACTCTCTGAGCTCTGCCTCTCTCTGATCCAGCATCTCCACCACCTGCTGGTAGGTGTAGTTGGAGTAAAACCCTCCTCCGTTGGCAGCCACCATCTGCTCCACCTTCTCCAGCAGATCCAGGACCTGTCCACGATCATTGGCTTTGAGGTTGTTGAAGACATGATATCTGTTTCCTGCCTTCCTCAGGATCTCCAGCAGCTCCGGTCCGGCCTCCTCCAGCTGTCGCTCAAAGTCTGACTCAACTCGGTCTCCGTACGTGAAGAGGATGATGGTGTTCTTCCATGCATCCTTCCCAAAGACCTCCTCCACCTTCCTGACAGAATTTCTTTCCTCTTCTGTGAAGGGTCTCACCTTGATAACTAGCAGGATGGCATGGGGCCCCGGGGCCGACATGTTGATGCATTTGGCGATCTCTCTCTTCACTGTGTGGTCAGACTCTGAGGTGTCTAAGAGGCCGGGCGTGTCGACGACGGTCAGCTCTCTGCCGAAGACCAAACCTTTCTGCTTGCAGCACTGTCCGGTCACTGAGGAGAGAAAACAGTCAGATTTAGTCAACAGCTTCATCATGACGAAGGGGGGCGGGTGATTACAGAGACACATGCTTTACAGGACAAAAGGTAAGAACAGTAAAAAGTCCATCAGACGTGAGAAAGTGCATCCTACATACTCCTTACTGTGGTTCGGCAGTTGCTGTGTTACTCAACCCTTTGGGAATGACCCTGATGGTCAGGCCTTGACCCATGGGGCCCGGTCGTGCACAGCGCAAAATAATTACTTGGAGCCACTGGTACAGGAATATGGATTGAGGACGGGTGCATTGTCTGCAGGGCAGCAGGCAAACATGAGGACCTAGGTGTGCATCACAGACTGGGTCTAAGCTCAGCTCTCTAGTAGGAACGAGTAGTTTTGAATCCTGAATGTCCCAAAAATAAGACTTAACCTGAGTTTTTATTTTTAATACCCTAAAAAAAAGTACTATACTAGATGGGACTGTTCCGGCTCTTCACTGGTTGCAGCACGGTATCTGGATTTTGTGTCTACAGAGTCATTAAAGCCACAAAGTAACACGCACATGCACTTTCCCCGTTTGTTTTTAGTGTAGACGAAGATAGAGGGGTTGCAGTCAAAGGACAGGTGATGTGTAGCTGCAGGCAGCCAACAGTTGACTTCATGAACCAAACAGAGCATTGAGTTTAAACTTTTTAAATCCAGGAAGAACACCACCACGGGGAATGAGGAGAAGAAGGTCAAACACAACAACATTGTGATTCCATACGTGTCTGGAGTATCAGAGGAGGATTTCCCTGTGTTTTTTAAACCCAAGAACACGCTAAGACAGATCCTGGTCCAAAGACCGCACACCCAAACACAAGAAAAGCAGTCTAGTGTATCTAATGCAGTGAACTCCTCAGGTTTAGACTCAGCAGTTTACCTACATCTGAAAGATAAAGGACTCTCTTTCAGTGACAACCAAGTTCATATTCTGGACAGAGAGGATGGATGGATGGTTGGAAGAGAGGAAGAAGCCATTTACACCTGGGTTGAGAAATCACTGCTTACTCAGCACTGCTCCAGTGAGGACAGTTTATTTCTGTTTACCAGTTTTATTATTGATTCTGTATTAATCATAAACTGACTTCTTCCTTTCATGACTTCTGAAGAAAAGAACGATCATCGTTCAGACCTGGCCTCAGGTGGCTCTAACAACCTTGACGACTGTTCTTACAAAATCCAGCTTCTTCATTTAGTCCGTGTAACTTTCCCGGTTATTTCCTGGAATAAAACCTGTGCGTGTGTTTTACCTGACAGCAGGCTGACCGCTTCAGTGAAGGCGTTTCTTCCCAGTAAGGTGTTTCCGCTGGAGCTCTTCCCTGATCCAGTCTTCCCAACAAGAACCAGCCTCATGTCTGACACTGGAACACAAAGAGTGGATCAAGGATCAGGGTAACTATTATCCACAAGGAGCAATTTGAATAGCAGCCAGCAGCAAACAATATGCATCAACAACAAATAAATCCGACACAAATTAAATTGACAGGGTAGGATTTACAATGATAACAGCCGGGATAAATGACCTTTTAATCAGTTCTGCATCGTAGCAGACTGTATCTGCGCCCTGAAGGCAGCAGCATGAATTCAGCCCCGGGATGGCCCGAGTACGGCAGGATGGTTTTCGTCTTCTTCAAGGACATCACCTTGTACAAGTCCCACAATTTAACTTCACACCTTCACAACACCTTGCAGGCTATTTTTCTGTTTAACAGAAACTGACCCGTGCCAGCAGATACAGGGGACCGTGACAGACAAGATTTTACGTTTCCATTGCAACAATCAGACGTGACTTCATTCAGCTGGAGAAACCGGCCATCCAACATCTGATAACTGCTAACCAATAAAGTGATCAGAGCTACAAAAATCTTAAGTTCTAATAAACCAGAAGTCTCATCATCATGACTCTGATAAGAACTCAGCGGTCGGTCTTAGGACCCATTTTATTTTCCTTGTATCTGCTTCCCCTTGGACACATTATCCAGAAACATTGTGTCTCTTTTCATGTTTACGCTGATGACACACTGATGTACCTGCCCGTCAGATCCACAGAGCCTGGGATGCTGAGTTCACTTACTGCCTGTCTCTGTGATGTCAGAAACTGGATGTCAAATTATTTCCTCCATCTGAACTCAGACAGAACAGAGATCCTGGTCTTTGGATCCCTGGTGGATCATATCAGGCCTGTTGAATCTTGGCGTCTGGTTCGACAGTTATCTAAGTTTCGAGCTTGTGCAATCATGTTTTTACCAGCTTAGAAATATATCAAAAATATCATCAATGTTAACTTTTAAGGACACTGAGACCATTTTACACGTCTTCATCTCATCACGCCTGGATCACTGCAACAGGTGTTTTACTACTGATGGACTCCAGAGTGTCCAGAACTCAGCTGCCAGGCATCACCCTGTTTCAGCTTCACCACTCCGGCTCCCAGTGTGTTTTACATTAGACATTAAAATGTTATTGATCACTTTTAAAGCTCTTCGTGTCACGATCCTGTCCGGAGTCTGTCTGTGTTTTGAGTTTCAGTTATTGTGTCCAGTTACTCTGTTTACACTGCTTGTGTCTTTATTAGTTTATATTTCTTCCTCTGGTCTGTTCTGTGTTCAGTAACCTGTGTTCTGTCTGTTCCCCCAGTTGTCTCTCTGTCTGCCTCGTTAGCCTCATGCTCCTCACCTGTGTTGCTCACGCCCTGCTCGTTAGTCCTAATAAACCACTGAACTGCACCAGTCGGCCTTTGTGTCCTGCGTTTGGGTCCACCGGCCTGCTTACCCTGCCTCTCGTCACCACAACTGTGACACTTCGTGGCCTCTCGCCCTGTTCTGTCTCTGACCTTTTAGTCTCGGGACTCACTATGTACTGAGCTGTCAGAGCACGTTGCTGGTAAGATGACAGGGGTTTTTATACTCTGACATTTGGGAAAGAGAGTCCATCTGAGTTTGAGCACAGACTGTTTAATGTTCAGTTAAGTTCTGTGTGTGCAGCATGAAGGGACTCGTTCGTATAAACTACCTTGTCCCAGCACAGACCTTGAGATCTTCAGGCAGAGGTCTTTAGTCGGTTAGAGAGTCTCGACTGAAACTAAAGGGACGGTTTGCAGTCGGGGCCCCGGATCAGCCTGTCCGAGGAAATCAGGTTGACTGAGTCATTGAACTCTTTTATAGGAAGCATTTTGATTTTATTTTTCTCCTAACTGTACTTTATTATCTGAAGTGTTTTCTTGCATCTATCACGGATCTTATGTGGGTTTTATTTATTTTTTGTCTTTGCACTTGTGGAAGTGTTTTTGAAAAGTGCTTTATAAATCCTGTAACCTGCCCTAAGCTGAACTGTCCTCAGTGGAACTCCATAAATAAAGATTACTATTACCACTTTATTCCCCAAACATTACGACTCGTAGTATTTTGACTTTTGTTTTGAAATTTTTCTGTCCTCACATCTTTTGGATCAAATGTGCTGCTAGTTCACAAGTAGGAAAAACTACGACTCCCACGGTGCATTTCACAAACATCCAGTCACATGAGCTGCTAACAGCAGCAGGAAGCTAAAGACGACGTCTTCACCATGGCGACCAATCTGTTCTTAACTGTAACAACAGCAGCTGAGGCTCATGGGTACTGTAGTACTTAGAGCTGTCCACCTGAATGCAGGAAAGCACCTGATTAGCCAGAAGCAGCGTGTGAGTCATTCAGACTGCAGGTCAGCACAGGAGCTTCCTGTGTCCCATCCAGCGGCTCCTCCCCTCACAACTCTAACATGCTTTTATTGTGAAAGGAAAAGCAGAAGTGAGCCGGTGACCACATGAAATCTCTCAGACACAACTTCCTCTGGAGAGACACCAGCAGAACCGTCCCTCACTAACACAGATGGTAACTACGTACCTGCACTTAAGCACAAATTAGAGGTATTTGTACTTTACTTGAGTATTTTCTTTTCCTGTCACTGTCTCCTTCTGCTCCATCTCAGAGGGAGATATTTTTACTTCATCACATTTATCTGACGTATGAGGCTGAGTTATAAATTAAACTCCAGTTTATAAAGTGCAGCTGACAGGATTATTATACAGTGAAATGTAGCACTTTGTTTTTCATGTAAAATCATTTCATGGTTCACAGACGTGAAGATTCGCTGCTTTTCCTTATTTTATCTGTATTAATGTTGAGTTTGTGCTGTTTGTTAGACAGAACAAACACTGTGACAGAGTCTCTGAGTCACTGGGACAACATTTCTCACTGTTTTCAATTAATGAAGAAAATAATGAGCAGATTGATCCAGAATGAAAAGACTCATCAGCTGCAGTCTGAACGAGCTGCAGCTCAACATCCTGCTGCACATTAGTGTGTGTGTGTGTGTGTATATATATATATATATATATAAATAACTAACAGTACAAAATCACAGGACTGGAAGTGCATCGTCATGATTATACTCACATACTTTTACTTTAAGAACATTTTCAATGCAGTACTTCTACTAATACAGAGTATTTTTAAAGTGAGGTATTAGTACTTAATTAATACTCCAGGCAGTAGAGTTATTAGCCTGTTTATAATGACAGTGTTTAATACAGAGGAAAATTTGCTTTGTCATGTCGGGGACCCCTGACACACAGAACTATACTAATAGTACTCTTTACTTTTGATACTTCAGTGTTTTTTAAAGCAGGTACTTTAGACGCAAGTAGAAATTTAAATTAAATACTTTTAGTGCAGTAATATTTAGCAAGTGTATCTGTAGTTTTACTCAAGTAGGCTACAGCACCGCCGCCAACATCAGGAATCACAGGAGAAGAAGTGAATGAACAGATGTTTGGTTTCAGACCTGTTGGAGGTTCGTCCATACTCTGGGTTCTCCTCCTTCCTGGTCGGAAGGGAGAAACAGACAGAGAGATAACTACTGTGTGTGTGTGTGTGTATATATATATATATATATATATATATTTTAAATATGTGTGTGTTATAATTTTCATTTCCTTTGCTGAAACCTTCTCTGTGTGGGTAACTATCCGATCATGACCCCTTTAAAACACTCCTTATCATCATCTGTCTGGTAGTTTCACTTTAGCTGTCAGGCCAATCTGTTCAGCTGTCCTCTGTCCCTGTAGCAAGCCCTTTAAACATTTATTCACTACTCGCTATTTAAAAGCTGCTCTGCTTATTTATTAGTTACTGGTATTTTTGGTTACTAGTGACCAGTGTTGGGAGTAACGCAGTTACAGTAATGTAGGCCTATAGCTTTTTGCTGTAAGGCAGTGATCACAATCACTAATGATAATAATATATCTAACATGTTATTATGTAACTTAAAATATATTAGTAATAATTCTACCCGTTACAATCTCAGTAACGCGTTACAGCGCATTTTAATAAATATATGGTGTTTTGATTTTTTAATAATTCACAAACATGGAGAAACATTTCGTCTTTATCTTCATGGATGAGTGTGAACAGAATTCTCCTTTCCTGATCAGAGAGGCTGCCCTCAGGTGCTTCATGCTGCTCTGCCTCGTGCGTAAATGCGCACAGCGTATCGCAGTGCTCACTAATGCACACAGGTTTACACTTGTGAATATTTCCACTGCGCACAGTTCACTCTGCAGGGAAAGCAGCTTATAAAATGAAACTTACCGGCTTTCTCTCTCTCCTCCATCAGCTCGGGTGAATCTGGTTTCCTCCACGTCCAGTTTAAATCAACACGAGTGCTAAAAGCACGCGATCACTAAGAAAGTGTTGCTGCCGCCATTTTGAGCCCCAGCACCTGCATTAACCCTTTGTCAGCTGATTTACGTGGGCGTGGCGTCAGATCACCTATCCCCAGCAGGAAGTGGTCTAACCCAGGTTCGGAAGACTTTCTAATGTAAGTAACGTATAAATATGTGGATCCAGTCCTGCAGACAGACAGCAGCTGATCCATGATCTCACTCAGAGACTTCTGTAGTCCACATGTTCATGCTGTCCTCTTGAGTTTGCGCACAGATCCTGGACGCAGCCAGACGGGTTTGCGGGAGACCGGATCATCTCATGTCTTCTGCCATCCATCAGTGTGCAGCCACTCACGTCTGTCATCACAAAGACAGGTGTTAAATAAGTAAGTAAAGCCCAGCTGCATGTTATTCTAGACTGCAGCTATAGAATCTCAGCTTTCCAATCTGTTAGAGAATTACTGGCTGTGTTTCCTTCGGTCTTCATTCACACCCGCTAAAATCCAGTCTAGTTCCAGGAGTTCCTCAGTTAGTCCTGCTGCTCTCTGCCTGCCTGACTTTATAATATGATGCAACAAATTAACGCTCAACCTTCTTGATCTGCAGTTCACTGACATGTTTTGGTTCCGTCATGTTGTTTCCTGTCTCGGTTTATCATCGGGTCCTCACTGCGTCCTCCTGGGATCAGTTTCACGTGTCTTTCTTTAGCTCCGTTTCCTGGTGACAGTGCAGGGCTGTACTTCTACTCAAGGACTGTACTTCAGTACAAATAAGAGATATTTGTACTTTATTATTTTCTCCATCAATCGATTGTAGAAATTCTGAAAGTAGTGAGAAATGCCAGTTACTCAGAGCCCAAAGTAACTCGTTCATCATGCTTTGTTTTGTCAGAGCAACAGTCCAAATAAAGAAACATTCAAATTATTAAAATACTAAAAATAATTAAATATTACGGGGAAAAGCAGCAAAACGTCATGTGTGAGGCTGAAAGCTGAAATGATAATTCTTTTCTATCCATCCACTAATCGTTTCAGTCAGTGGTGGACAGTAACTAAGTACATTTACTCAAGTACTGTACTGTTACTTTACAAAGTCAGATTTTTACACATGAAGAGTTTATAAAATATGAAGTTTAGTTAGAAATGAATCTCCAACAGTTTATAAAGTTCAGCTGGTACTTTAGTTTTGCTGTATCATCATGGATCGGTGTAAACAGGATTCTATACGTGGCTGCTGTCAGTTCATCCTGGCCGAGGGCCGCGATATTTACATAATCAATGAAGTTCAGTTCACAGATAGTAACAAATTACTCTCAAATGACAGTAACGTATAATGCTTTACTTCCCAACAGTGTCACATAATCTGATGGGTCACAGATTTCGGTGTCACACCGGCCCCCATCATCCACTTAAAGGGCCCCGGGACTTTATGTTGGAGGTCTCGGCCTTTAGTCTCCCTCTGTGGAGTGTTGGACATTTAGTGGTGGAATAATTTCTTCCCAAAGAATACAGAGTCAAAGATGTGATGAATCACGGAGAGAGAGATCACGGGTCTCTGCCGACCAGAGCACTTTTCTCTTCTTAAATACAAACAACACACACAACAGCCGATAGTAAGCTCAGGCACAAATAGCAAATCACATCTAGAATATTAGCATCCACTCAAAGGCTCCTCCTGAGCTGACAAAAGAATGCAGATGTACGAAGCCTCAGAAATGTCTCCATACTCATCTGTTAAAATCTCACACGTGTATTCAGTCAAAGGATCCTTTGATTAGAAATCCCTGTGACCAAGACTCGTTTCTCAGAGTCCGAACGATCTGCAACCTCAAATTTATTTCTCACAATTTTCAGAAATACAAGGAAATTTTTGTGAATGATCCTTCTCTGGCCCCAGCAGGTGCTGTGCTGTTTAAACATGGATCCGGATCCAGATCCAGATCCAGATCCAGGTCCAGATCTCACCATTGTCCTGCTTGGAAACACGGGAGTCGGGAAAAGTGCTTCAGGAAACACCATCCTGGGACACCAGGCGTTCGAGTCAAGGACTTCCTTAGCATCTGTGACCAGAGAAATCTGTGAAGCTGCTGAAATAGTATTTGAGAAACGGATCTTAGTGATCGACACTCCGGGAATATTAGGCCACGAGGAAGAGATCCAGACCCGCTGTCAGAGAGTCCTGCAGTCCTCCAGACCATGTCTTTTTGTGGTGGTCCTCAGCACCGAGCGCTTCACCGCTGAACAAGAGGAGGCTGTGAAGGCAGCCATCGCTGTCCTCGAGGATGATGGGTTGAGGAAGAGTTGTATGCTCTTCACAAACGGAGATACCCTGAAGGACAGGTCTCTGGAGGATTTAATCCAGGAAAAGGAAAGTGACGGTGGCGAGTCTGGGAAGAGATTTTCAAACCTTTTAGACCAGTTCCAGTGTCGCCATCTGTTCAATAATGAAAGTGGGGATCAGGAACAAGTCCGGGAGCTGCTGGAGGAGACGGGTCACCTTCAGACCAGGGACCCAGGACCTCGTCCACCAGGTATCATGTTCTCGTGCAGTTTAAACCTCCACAGTGAAGACAGAAAGCTGCTGCTCATACAGAGGAACTACTCAGAGTACTCAGATTCCTGCTTTGTTGTAACCAGTAAAGTAATCTGTTAGTTTGGTTCATCAGTCTCTTTGTTCTGTTTTCAAAGTTCACCGTTTTTCCCTCCTGACCATCGCTCTGCTCGGTTTCCTCCAGTCAGCGCTTCTGTGCAGAGCTGGAAGTCAGAAACTAAGCACTGACCTGGTTAATGTACTGTTGGCTACACCGGCTCTGCTTTTAGGGCTGCACCTCATGACTGAAGTGCTGCGAAGTGTTTCTGACATGGATTTATTTCCTCCCTGAGTAATAAGATCATCGCTGTCGGACGTGTTTCTGCATCAGAAACTAACTGAGCCATTTACAGCCTGTAACAACGGATCACCCAGCCCTGCCGCGGTACAATTTCTTTCTACAATCTATTAGGGGTCCAAGCCTAAGTGGGCTGGGAACCCGTGATTGCAAGGCATCGCGGTTCCCAGTACCACTGGAGCTGGGAACCAGCTGGGAAGCCTATTGTTTTCGCTAAGATTTTTATTTTTATTCTTCTGGACATTTTTGCAGAAGTCCAATACTGCGGCCTAGACGGTAAGGGCTACAGACGCGAATCACAGGGTACGTTCAGACCCATGAGATGACGGCAGGCGAAAAAAATTGCACACTTCTACCTCTAGGGGGCGCTATAAGCAAGGTCAACGTGTTTGGGCTTGGAACTCCCGCCCAAGAAGGCGGATATCAAAAACCTTATATCCACGTGTTCGGGGGATCCAGCTGAATCTCATGGTATAGGCCACGCCCATTTCCGCCTAAACTTTTCACTAAATCGCGAAAACTGAAAAACCTATTTTAATTAACTCCTCCGAAGCTGCAAGTCCGATTGACACCAAACTTGGCACCGATAATCTCTGGACCAAGCTGACAAAAGTTTGAAGAGGAAATTTTGATCTGACTAAAAATGTCACAATTATATGCTAACAAATGTTTGCGAAAAACACTACTAACAGGAAGTGAGGCCATATCTGCGGTTTGGAATGGCCATTTGATACCAAATTTGGAGCATTAATGTGAGACGCCCCCCTGAGGGCCTGTGCAACTCGGCTCTAGGTGGCGCTATTTAATCAGAAAAAATTATTCCTCTATAACCACAACTCACATTGACATGAAACCACAGCCCAATTGTTCTGCATGGTCCCCTCACTACAGGCACCAAAGTAAACCCAAATATGCCCATAGGTGGCGCTGTTATTGCACATTAAAGACATCCAAAAAAACGTCACACGGCCTCCCGAGGGCCTGTGTGACATTTGGCGTCAGTTGGCCTCTAGGTGGCACTATTAATGGGAAATCAAATAACACTCCCATAGACATACATTCATTTCATATCTCCGTAACCGCAAGCCCCTTTCATTTACAACTCTGGTGATTTATTCTCCACGGACTCCGTGGCGAGCTCAGGCCGACTCGCATTTACACTGTTACACAAGCTGTACGCTCACAACTTTACACAGGGTCATTTCTTCAGTGTTGTTACATGAAAAGACAGAATAAGATATTTACTAAAATGTGAAGGGTCGACTCACTTTGTGAGATACTGTATGTCAGAGTTTGCACGCCTCTGGAGCAAGTAGGAGTTAAGTGTCTCGCTCAGGGACACAGTAAGAATCGAACCCGGGAATCTCTCACACCAAAGGCACGTCTTATCCACTGCACCATTTTTCACAGACACGTTCCGTCTGTTACTACCAACGTTCCCGGCTCAGAGGCGGATCAAATCTTTCCTGCTCCGTAGCTTTGAGAGCTATAGTCCCGGAAAATAGGACAAAATGAAATTGGCTACAGATTACGGGCCGAAGACGAGGCTGTGCGACGGTGGGAGAGTCAGTGAGTTCAGAGGTAGATGGACAGCAGCTACGTGCTACCTCGTGTCGCCGTTCACCTCTTCATGCAGGCGCTGTGAGCATTAAAGGTGCTGATCACCTCCTGGTTCTCCTTCAACTGTGCGACAGCCTGAAGACGGCCGTCTAGTCTTTGCTTACATGTCAGAAATTCACCTGTCAAACGCCGCCCACCAAAGTGGTAATTCAGCCCAATGCAGTGTACGCCGAGCTTTACTTTTTAAAGTAACGTCACCCAGCACTGGCCGTTAATGTCAGCTTTCACAGCGGGTAGAAATTCACAAGCTGTCGGTCAGTACGTGGATAGATGGAGTTCCAGTGTGGGGGCGGGGCTGTCCTGGAGCTGGAGGGTTATGCCTGGTGTGCCTTTCTTACTCTATGAGGACCCTGCTGGACTGTTAGTTATGAAAAGGTCATTGATTTTTTTCATTTTCTTCTCTTCGTCCAGCTGCTGGTCCTGTCGCGGTCGTGCTGCTCGGTTTGCCTGGAGGAGGGAAGAGTTCAACAGGAAACACCATCCTGGGATCAGATCTGTTTAAAACAGGCTCTGGCTTTATCAGCGTCAGTACAGAGAGCGTCAGGAAATCAGCAGACGTGGCAGGTCGTCGGGTCACGGTGGTGGACACTCCGGGATTTACCAAGTCTCAGCTGTACACGGAGATCAGGAGAATCCTGGATGGCGGTGAGCGACCGCACGCCTTCGTCATTGTGGTGAAGATCGGCCGGATGTCCGAAACAGACTCTGATCTGCTTCAGAAGCTCCCAGAACTGTTCGGCAGTGAGGCTCCGAACTACGTCATGGTGGCTTTTACACATAAAGACCAACTAGGAGGCATGTCCATAGAGGACATGATCCAGTCCAGCAGCTGTGTGTCCGCTCTGCTCTCCAGGTGTGGAGGGAGATACTGTGTGTTTGACAACAAAAGAAGACGAAGCCGAAAGCAAGTTCAGGACTTCATGATTAAAATCCACGAGCTGGTCTCAGCTAACGGAGGACAGACGTTCCCCCCCGACATGTTGAAGATGGCGGAGGCGCCCAGTGATGAAGCTGAGGGAATTCAGCGAGGTCCAGGAGCTGGATCTAATGAGGCGCCGGGAGGACCTCCACAGAGACGACCCGAGTCTTTAGGAACACGGTGCTGGAACACAGTTCGTTGCTGTTTCACATGCTTTGGTTTTCCACAGGGCAACAGCGGACCAGATGATGAACGGCGGCCACTTCTATTAAGGGATCAGGGATCTATAAACTGAACCAGTTCATATTCAGGGTGGAACCAGATACATGCCTGCCAAACAGGCAGTGTTTGTATTTAGGTGGCAGCAGCTTGTGTTCCAGCCCTGATCAATCAAAGGGACTGTGGAATTCCTGTTCTCACCAGGTGCTTTCACGCCGCCTTATTTTCCGGGAGTATTGAGCGGGAAAGCTGGGGTCATATTTGATCCGCCTCTGAGTCGGGAACGTTGGTAGTAACAGAGCCGGCACCCCGCGGTCTTTTTCCACACCGCTGGTTCCAGAAAGCCGGATCACTTTGTGAAAGCACACATGGCTGCAGGATTATGCTGGAAACATTACTTCAGTATGACTGAGTTTATGTGGCCCATCGGTGGTTATTCTGTCAGTGTTTATTCTGGATCTCTGCGTGAAAGCGGAGTTTGTTCCCAGCCAGAGCTGGACCTGCAGCTGAAACTGAACGTTCCTAAATAACACGGTTAGTATTTATTATCAGTTCTTTGTAGGCAGGTCCGTGTCCAGTTTGTTGTGGAGTAATGGTTCCAGTGGACGGTACAACCGGAGCTCTGACGGGGCTCTAAACCAGCGAGTCAGTATTGCAGTACTGCTGCTTTTATTGATGCCGTTTGCTTCTTCGTCATGTTGAGAGTTACAGTATGAAAGGAAAACCCCAGAACTACGCAGGGGCGGTAGGTTTCTAGTTCTGATGACCTGCTCTGGAGTTCTGCAGACACAGATGTTGCTTCCTTCACAGTAAAAGAAGTTAATCTTAGATTCTTACATTTAATGTTCTCCTGGTTTCAAAACATTACTTTACTTTTACTTTTAACTTGAACCGCCCAGTGTGATGATCATTCTGTAGGTGAGAACACAGCTGAACCCCTAATTCTCATCACAAACCCTCCATCTCATGTTTCTTCTGAACTCCATGTCTGACTTCGTCTCCATTCAATACACTTATTAAATTCATCCGTTTTTGACACTGTTGTCCAATCAGTGCCGACTTCTCAGGGAACTTTAATGACTCTGTTAACAGGTTTAATGAATGGTGCTCTTTAGCTTTTGATACCGTTTCTCCAAAGAAGACCAGACTGGGCCCAGTTCTCGGTCCGTCCCCGCGTAGAGACGCAGTGCTGCCTGTAGATGCAGTAAAGGAAACTTTACTCTTTACTCTGGAACAGAACCTCCATCAGATCTGCTCGGTTTGTTTCAAGCAGCTGCTGAAAACTCATTTCTAGAGCTTAGAAACACGTTTGCCTCAGAGTTGGTTTATTTTGGTTGTATGCTTTAATCTTTGTCTACGGATCATCCATTTGTATGTGTGTATATGTATACTTGTATTTGTATGTGTGTACTGTAAAGCCTAGTCCCAGTCAGACACCTGTCCCTGTTTACCGGCCTGTTGTGGCTGCATTATTTGACAAATAAACTCAGGTCTCAATTAGAAGCCTGGTCCGGTTTTTGTAGAACAATGTATAAAACCTCTTGAAGCCCAGCAGGTCGCCTGCTTTCAGTTCAGTCGATCAGTTCATTTTACAACAAGTCCCAAAATGTAAGTCATTCACATTTACCAGCATGGTAAAAGGACTTAAAGGCCTGTCCAATCTTCAGTTCACCTAAAACGTCATCCAAGGCATACCCAAAGGAAACAGTACGCAGTCTTTAAACCTTCTGGAGTAAATGCATGGGTTTGGGTTTCTCACATCACACTCAAACAGTCACAAATACTGTAAGTGCAACTGGAATTGATTATCATGTTTAGGGGTGGTGATGGTGCAGTGGATAAGACACATGCCTTTGGTGTGAGAGACCCGGGTTCATTTCCCACTGTAACCCATCCACCATTGTGTCCCTGAGCAAGACACTTAACCCCTTGTTGCTCCAGAGGCGTGCGACCTCTGACTTGTAGAGCAATTGTAAGTCGCTTTAGATAAAAGCGTCAGCTAAATGAGTAAATGGAATGTAATATGAGTTTGAACACACAGTAAAACGTTTTTCATTTCCGTTTGAAAAGGTTTGCTAACACATGCATGTACACAACTAGACCTGGGACTTAATACAAACACTGTGGGGCCACAGCATGAAGCCTTAACTAGTCCAAGTTTAATTTATTTAGCATTACACAGAAAATTCATGTATAACAGAGGTACTTCTAAGTGTTTTTCACTTTGGCAGCATGCAGCTGTTGTTGTATGACTCCGTATTTGCCTGCAGCTTTACGCAGATGTTTTTTTGCTGGTAGATCATGAACTTTGTAGTTGAAGCCATCTCTCATTATTTCAGAATTTTATTGGCTACACAAAGTGCCAGTCAGTCATCGGTGCAGTTGGTTGGAAATGATAGGGGCTTCCTTTCAGCGCGGGCTCTCATTGGTTACTGTAGGCTGTACGGGACATGAGAGCTCCTTCTGGGTCCAATTAGGTGTCAATCGAAAGGTTAGAGATCAGCAGCCATTTTGAAATTAAGATATCGTAGTTGTTTACATCCAAACCGGAGTTATTACGCTTTTAATGACCTATTAGACACGTCTGCTGATAAAGATGAAGCGATGCGGCAGCAGTCCCTGGGGTTTTATTGAAGGAATAATGTGCTTTGGACTAAATGTTTTTACTGGATTTGATCGTCTGGATCTTTGACAAAGTAACAAGACCATTTTTGACCAAATATAAATCGACTGGTGGATGAAGTTTCTCTGAGGCTTCATAGGTGAGTCGCGTCAGTTTTGATTGTACTGGCTGGTCTGACAGAGGCGCTGCTTGTACCCGCTGTGGTATCTTGAAATAGTTTGCATTGGTCGATCACAACGACTTTCCAATGGTGCATCATATGAGCATCTCAACTTAAACATAGCAGTTGTGTTTACATACCGTACGCTGCCAACCAGGACCGCACGGCCGTCAAAATGTTTAGAGGTTAAACAAATAAAAGCAGTAATTAAAGTTTTATGGTATTTTATCCTAAATGTGAAGCACTTTAAACTGACGTTACTCAAAAGTACTATAAACATGATATTATAATAAGCTCATTATGCAGCAGCTGCTCACATTTAAATGAAAACATTCATCAGTTTATCCCTGAACTCTGTCCAACAATAAGTCTGAGCTCAGCCTTGAGAACCACTTCCTGTTTAGATGTTGTAAATAGAAAAAGGAGGTTAAAACAGCTGATTTGAGTAAATGAACAACAGACTTTTAATTTAATGACACAGTTGAGTTGGCAAGTGGTCTACATGATAGTAAATGAGGAGTTGGACTGACATCTCCTCAGATTCTGTGTTAATAAAATATAAACTCCTGTGTTTGTACATTTTAATAAAAGAGATAATAATAAAACCCTTTTCTACAACAGTGTGGACACCCTGAAGTGATCAACAGATTCCAACCAATCAAATATTTCATTTACATCTGTAGCAAAAGTTTGATCATTTGTAAAACACTAGCTTCCATCCTCAAACCAACCTGCACAGAATATTTTGTATAATAACTCCCAAAGCACAGATATGAGCGTGGGAGAGTACCAGCGCCAGGCGTACCGGACCTTCGTCATCATGGTTATGCAAGTTAGTTCAGGTTAAGTTAAAAGAAGTCAAGACAGGCCACAAACATCTGCTCCTCCTCCTCCTCAGAAGACAGTGATCTGCTCTTCCTCCTGCTCCTCACTGGGTGTCTGCAGAGAAACACATCAGTCAGGTTTAACCCTTTAAATCAGTTCAGCTGGTCTCAACATGTTCTGTCAGAAAGATGTCAGCAGAAACAGAGCACTCAACATTCAGTGTCGGGGACTAGCTGCAGAGAGGTCTGGGACCAGCTGCAGAGAGGTCGGGGACTAGCTGCACAGAGGTCGGGGACTAGCTGCACAGAGGTCGGGGACTAGCTGCACAGAGGTCGGGGACTAGCTGCACAGAGGTCGGGGACTAGCTGCACAGAGGTCGGGGACTAGCTGCACAGAGGTCGGGGACTAGCTGCACAGAGGTCTGGGACCAGCTGCAGAGAGGTCTGGGACTAGCTGCACAGAGGTCGGGGACTAGCTGCACAGAGGTCGGGGACTAGCTGCACAGAGGTCGGGGACTAGCTGCACAGAGGTCGGGGACTAGCTGCACAGAGGTCGGGGACTAGCTGCAGGGTTTCCTAATCTAGCCATGAGTGCGTTCACATCAACAGGCTGGTTATTGCAGCAGACGACCAATCACAATCATAACACTGATCTCTGATCAGTGAAAACAAACAGCAGCAGTCTGGGGTCGGGGTTTACAGGGTGCATAACATGTACAGAAGAGGTCTACAACAGTCTGCGTGTGTCGTGCAGCATATTTACCAGGAACAGAAGTGTGTGATGGATGATAAACTCTTTAGTGAGTCGGAGCATATCCTGGTTCATAGTCTGAAACAGAGTCGGGACCAGGACCACAGCCAGATTATGAGCAGACATCCTGTTATCCTGAGACATCACCTGGACCCTGTGAGAGACGGGGGGGGGGGCAGTAAAGAGGTTAACCTATGTTGTTCAGGTCTAACAGAGTCTGGTTTATGACTCACCGTGAGGATGTGGACTGTGTGGTAATGTTCTGACCATCTTTGCTGCTTTCAAATGACACTAACTGCTTTAACTGCTGTCTCAGACCTGGTCTCAGACCTAGTGTGCCAACAAAGATCGGGATACTGATATTAACATTATTTTGTGTTAGAGTTACATGTAAAAGTGTCCAAACAGTGCGTTCAGCGTTGCTCGGTTGTCGTCAGGAAGTTGCCGTAGCAACCGACGGTAGGCTGAAAACCTGGAGTGTTCACCTGAAATCTCTGAGAGAGAGAAAGTTCTGTTAGAGTGAGTACTACTGTAGTATTACTACTTTATGGTACGAGTCCAGACAGCCTTCTGATACTACTACTTCTGCTGTTCCATTACCACAATGTTTACACAGATACTACTGTAGTTATATCCTACTATTACATGTACCTGTGTACTAACCTGCAGCCTGCTGCCACTGCTGTGAGTCTCTGTCGGGGATCAAACTCTCCTGCTGGCGGATATACTGTTTGAGGGCGGAGCAAGTGTCCAACACACCTTGCTCATCACTCTCCAGAGGGGCGGATCTAGGTGACGTCTTCAGAGCCTCCACCAATCTGTTGACTTTGACAGCGAGGCCACAGCGCCGGTACACGCCGTCCACCTTCAGACCTGAGAGACAAAAAAATTTAACTTCTATTTTATTTACCAGTCCATATTTCTCTGTTTCTCCTGCCCACCCAGCTGATTAAACAGGTCAAACCAACAGCAAAACAGTCACAGTGTGGACAGGTGAGGCTACAGCAGCTCTACAGGACTGTTTTGAGACTGCCTCCTTGATGCCAGCTTTCAAAGTGGAGACATCAGCAGAGACTGGAGAGACCTCAACACCAAAGATATGTGGCAGGCCATCAAAAACCTCCCAGGATACAAAAGCAGGAGCGCCCCCATCATGTGTGAGGCCACATTACCAGATGAACTTAACACCTTTTATGCACACTTTGGTCTCCTCAACAAGGAGTCAGCTGTAAAGTCTACTCCACCTCCAGAGGACCGGCCACTGTCAGTATCCACAGCAGATGTGAGGAGAGTCCTGCTGAGAGTGAATATGAGTAAAGCAGCTGGGCCTGATAACATTCCTGGCCGTGTACTAAAAACCTGAGCCAATCAGCTAGTTGATGTTGTTACTGACATTTTCAACATCTCACTGTCTCAGGAGAGGGTTCCCACCTGCTTCAAGACAGCCACTATCGCAACTCTGTTGTGAAGACTGAATGAAGGTTAAATACCCGTGCCAAGTTCTTGTCAGCTTTTACAGAGGAGCAACAGAAAGCATCCTGACTGGAAACATCTCTAACATGGGATGTGCACTGCCCAGGACCGGAGGGCTCTGCAGCGGGGGATTCAAACTGCTCAGAATATCATTGGTACCCATCTCCCGAGCATCGTGATATCGGTAAGGTGCCTGCAAAACCCTAGAGGATAGCCTGTTCACTCTGCTGCCGCACCACCAGACTGCAGAGCAGCTTCTTCCCCCAGGCTGAGAAACTTTTACATTCATCCTCAGCACTGCTCCATGCACAACAGTTTTATTTCTATGACTTATTATATATCCACCATTTACTGTGTAAACTTTTTGTATATAATGTTTGCTTTATACGAGTATCAAAAAAGGGAACTACAACTTTACCTTGTTAAACAACCCTGTGTTGTAAAATGATCAATAAATGTACCTTGTAAATGTATAAATTATGTAAAAATAAATATGTATGATGTGTGAACATAAACTGACCGTAGGTTGTGATGTGGGAGATGCAGCGTTCGATGGCCGGTGGAACTGAACCCCTCGACCCCACATCCATCACAGGGTACAGAGACAGGCGAGCTGGGCGTTGACGCTGTGGAGCTGCTTTCTGATTGGTCAGGGCTTTCTGCAGGTGGTTAAACCACGACTGACAGCTGTGCTGCTCCTCAAAACGCAGCGACACGGTCCTGATGAGAAAACAACAAGATGCAAGCTGTGAGCCAATCAGAAGTCAGGAATATAAATGTATAAGTAAACATTATTGTTGCGGCTAATGTAAACAGATTCATAATCTTCTCAGGAGGGAAATGTGAGTGTGTGCACACCTGTCTGCAGTCACCATGGTGATAATGTTTTCAGATAGATCCATTTCTGAAAGAGAACACGAGACCACGTTTGATGTTCAGAGATTTCATTCAGAGTTTAATTCAAATAGATTCAAAACTTCACTTTTGTTCCCAATTTGTTTTTCACATCAGTTGAGCTTCTTACGTCAGGTCTGTGTTATAAAAAACTTCTTTCTTTCAGACAGATTCATATTCTGGTTCAGTGGACTCAGAACAAACATCAGCTCTCTATCAAAACAATGCTGTTTTCGTTCCTTACACTGTGACTGGACTCTCATATGAGAGGCAACACTGACTGACATATGTTACCTGAAAACTAATTTTCTTGTTAACAAACTAAACTTGTTGTTCTGTCCTGACTCAGGTGGAGGGCGTTTCAGTCTCACATTGATTTCAGATCCATTTTTAAAGCAGTAAACAGGCTCAGATCAGCTCACTGAACAGCTGGATACAGTCGGGTGTCGTCTGCATAGAAACAAACTCTCTCTGCAGCGGTAACATACTAAAGGGAACTAAAACTTCATCTCATTATACAACCCGGTGTTGTAAAATTCTGTCTGAACAGTAGAGGACCCAGATTGGAGCCTTGTGGAACACTATCTGATGAAGAGCATGTGGACATTACACAGGGAATTTTAGATGTTTTTCATTATTTAAACAATCAATTAATAGAACAAACAAAAAGAGGAACACATGATCTGACAGCAGAAAACACAAAAACAGAAAATCTGATTTAAAATAATTAAAACTGATCGGCTCTATGTATATTTAGGACTCTCAACAAATGGAAGCAAATATTAACAATCCATCCTCTTCCCCAGTATCTAGTTTAAAACATGGATATAAGTCTGAAAGACCCCTGCTGGGATTTAGCTTTTACTTGTTATATTTATTTTAAGAACTGACGAAACATCTTTAATCTTAGATAAATACAGATTGTCAGATTAATAATAATTCCACAGTGAAGAGTAAAGCTGAGTTTGCTCCAGGCTTCAGTTTTTACAGATTTTTACTGAAACATTTGACCATTACCGTGGTGACTGAGCATGCTCAGTTCCATCCTCAGAGTCTGCCGTGTCTGTCTGTGGACGGGGTAAACACTGATGCCGTCCTCCCACAGCAACAACCAGGAGTCAGACTGAGTAGAGGCTCCGCCCACTTCAACGACACACACTTTACTGACAGCAGAAGCCCCGCACACCTCCGCATAAGACACGCCAGGTGGGAGAATCACCTGCAAACATGGACTCAGGTTGATAACATGAACTCGTTAATAACAAGAACCCTCCAACAGACATCTGCAGGTGAAGACCAGACAACGTGTCTTTCTGTCTTCTTCTTTAACGTCTAAAGCTCAAACTTGTCTTCAGAGAGACAGACACACCCAGGTTTACCTTCAGTATGTGGACCAGGTGATCCAGCAGTGCCTCGTTGTTGTCAGCGGCACAGGCCAGCTGATCGCTCAGCGTCACCATCTCAAACTCATGAGCTGGTCTGAAAACACACCAACACACGGACAGGAAGCATTAGAAGCAGTATTACAAATGTCCTTAGTGACCAGCACACTGCTCAGCCTGAGTTACAGTTTCCCACAGATTCTGCAGTCTGTCGTGTTTGTTTCCTTTACTGCCATGTGCCAAAAATCAGTGCAAAGGAAATGATCACAAGTTGTAAATGTGGTCCAGCAGTCCTCTGCGCTCAGACACATAACACGTGACTGACAGAACGTCATCATCTGCATAAACATACATAGAACGTGTCTCCTGTGCAGAAGAGACAGAGGACTGATTTACTTGGTTTTTACGTTGCTAACTTGATATTAGATATTTGGTCTGTATATATTGATTTTCAATGAAAATGTATAGAATTTAACATCTTCACTTCAGCAGCTCTTACAGACACCAGACTTCCCAGTTTTATGCCCAATTATGTTCTGAAGAGAGGTTTGTTCATACATCATTCACAGCCTGAGTTATGGAACATTTTATTACCAAAACCATGAAATAACGTTATTTTTTCCATGCTTTTTGATAGCATTTCTGATTTATGGAGTAATTAATCATCTGTGTTCAGATTTCAGTTCTTGAAATAGATGCAAATTAGTGCATATTTCATTAGATACTGCCTCATTTGCATATTAAACATAATATTTCAGGAAACCTGTAATACAAAATAATATTGCCTTAATGTGACTAATCAACGAAGAACGTTTCACAGTGATATGTTAGTTAATTCTGTTCCCTGTTCACCTGCAGTGTCTCGCTTTGACAGAATAGCGTCAAAAGTAGCGTCAGACTTAACCTGAAAGTTAGGGTTTGTTGCAAGGCACCTTCTGACCCGCATTACATTTGAAATCATTAGATCTATTTTACATTTGACAGCGCTGCATTAGGAAAATCTGTTTCCTATAATGTGTCTATAAAGCCAGTATGTTCTATAAAATCCACACAGAAAGGATTTCAGTCTATAAACAACCATCTGGTTCTCCTGACCTCGATTCAGTTCTGTGGTGATTTGATGGCTGTTTCTGACTCAATATTCAAGTCATTGACAGGTGTTTTCCTCCACCTGTTGAAGCAGTTTGTAGAATCCTGCAGTGATGAGGAGTCTCCACCAGAGGGAGCTGTCCTTTACAACATCCTGTTCCTTTAACTGACACAGAAAACTCTGTTCTGCTTCTCAACATGTTGAATTGTGTTTGAAAGAATGTGTAGTTTCCCTTCTTTAGGCTCCTGAGCTTTGAAGTACAGACATCCTGCTCTTCAGTTTGCCTAATGTCTGTTTAAACCTTTATTAAACCAAGAAAGACTCACACGTACTTTCTAAGAGCATCCAAGCCGAGACAGGCTGCAGCAGGTCGTGAGCTGCTAAATGACGTCTCGGTTTCTTCCTCACTGTTTCGGTTTTACTGAATCAACTTCACATATTTCTGATTTAATAGATGTGATATTGTCTGCTATATACAGTACAAGCAATACATTAGCAGTAGTATCAGAAGTTTCACTATTTTATTTACCCGTCTTTAATGAAGACGGACAGAACTTCTCGCAGGTCGAGGACGTCGCACGCTGCCGAGTCGTTTTCCAATGAGAACAGAAAACGATCTTCTTCCAGTTTTCCATGAAGCTCCTCCTCTTCCTCACCTTCACACACAGAAAATGTTTCTGAGGATCAAAGTGCTGAACAGAATGACATCATCCTTTTCAGGACTCGTACGGTGGCCTTTTGGTTCAAAACAACATTTGCTTTTCTTTGTGTTTCTCCGCTCAGACATCCTGCAGCTCCAAATATGATTCATACAGACAATGACAGACTGCATAAACAAAAAGTTCTAAAAACATGCTCATTATAAATTCATCCAGGTGATTCATCCTACCTGAGGGGGCGGGGTCAGGTCTCCTATTGGCTGACTGTGGCTGGTAAGGCGGGAACTCTGAATAAAAACAGAATAAAAAGTCCTGAATCCAGAATCACATCCAGATGAGTCTGTTCAACAGTTAGGTCACCTCAGTGACCACGCCCAACAGTGATGTCACAGTGTCCACCTGTACGTCAGTGCAGCCAGGTGAGAAGAGGGGTGTGTTACCTGTGTACTCGTTGAGCCGGAGCAGCTGGGTCTGCAGAGCCTGACCGGCCTTCTCAGCCAGCATGATGGGGGAGGGGCTCTGAGGGTCTGACTGACACACCTGCACAGGTAACGAACATCACTCAGGTACAGGAAGTAGTAAACGGCTGTTTCTCACAGCAGAAACAAAGTGTGACCCTGTACCTGCAGGACCAGGACCCTGAAGCTGATCTCACTCATTGTTCCTTTACTAATTTAAACCTGTGATTTACCTGCTGTCACACGACAGCACGTCTGGTCACCAAGTAACTTCACAGGTGCTTTTTACAGACAGACGTGTTGGAGTGTGACCTGCAGGAGCCGTGAGCTCAGCTGCTGAAGATGCTAAACTTAAAACGGTGACATGAAGTGAATAAAGAAAAACACTTTAAATGTGTGCGTGCGTAATGATCATTAAAAGATCATCAAAGAGTGAAACCATCAGACCTTTGCTCCCGAGCAGATCAGCGACATCGTTTCTCCTACGTCGTCTCCTAAGACCACCTGGCGCAGCCTCTGAAACACAAACGCACATCATCACACACCTGTACAGGTGATGTAAGCACTAAACTTTCATGTTCACATATTAAGCGCACGTCCATGTACAGTTTGCGCGTACATGGACGTGCGCCCTGTCTCGGGACAAACCGTTTTTTGGATCACTCTTGAAAACACAAATAAACCAAGGCACAACAATTAGATCGAACCCTCGAATGGAACAGAGCAAACAGGCTCCAGCTCTGAAACTGTAATGATGACTGGTTTCAGATCAGTTTCTTCACACCGACAGATACATCTGTATTTTTATCATCTACCATTTCAGTTATGTGAAAATAAAATGACATCATTATCTGAGGCATGGAGGTAAATTAAAAAAGGGTTTTTAATTTAAATCTAAAATATGAAGTTATTTAAATGTATCTAAATGTTTGAAATAAACTAAAGAAAATCCATCACTGTGGGATGTTTATCTGATCCAGCCTAATAAATATTACAATATTTCCACTGCTCTGATCTGAAAACTGATATTTACTTTACATCCTGAAACACACAAACCCGAACTGAACGTCCCTACAGTTACCATGGCAACGTGTCAGAGTAACTGTAACTGAGTCAGACCTGATCCATCTGAGAGGGTGAGGAGGTCAGAGCGTGGACTCGTCTGTAGCGCCCCCTGCTGTATTTATCCTGGATGAACTTTGACCTCTGCTTGTCCGACGACTCTGGACGCAGCCGCTCCGCCGCCGGCACCGCTGGAGCCCACACCTGATTGGCCAGGCTGTTACCGTAGTTAACAAACAGCTGGAGAGGAAGAGGTTAAAGGTTATAATTGAGTGGTTCAGTCCTCCCTTCGCCTGGGCCGAGTTCAGCGCAGACAAAACGTAGCAAACAGAAACGGTGGCCCATTGCAGGAAACATGTCGTTCAATCCAAAAATGTTTCAAACATTCCCACCGAAAATGTTGCTAACCGTGTCTCAGGTGTTACCCACTTATCAGTTGTGCTAAGTTTGTAAACACAACGGTGTAAAAAAGGCAGGAAAATTCAGTGCGCTTGCGTTCACAGCAGGGTGTTCAGGGAATCACCGTTTTGTTGTTGTTTTGTTTCGCTGAACTCACACGAGTGTTTAAATCCCCCCCTCAGTCTGCCCCCCCCTCACCTGTATGAGTGGTTCAGTCTGTCCCCCCCCCCCTCACCTGTATGAGTGGTTCAGTCTGCCCCCCCCTCACCTGTATGAGTGGTTCAGTCTGTCCCCCCCCTCACCTGTATGAGTGGTTCAGTCTGCCCCCCCCCCTCACCTGTATGAGTGGTTCAGTCTGCCCCCCCCCCTCACCTGTATGAGTGGTTCAGTCTGGCCCCCCCTCACCTGTATGAGTGGTTCAGTCTGGCCCCCCCCCTCACCTGTATGAGTGGTTCAGTCTGCCCCCCCCCCCCTCACCTGTATGAGTGGTTCAGTCTGGCCCCCCCTCACCTGTATGAGTGGTTCAGTCCAGATCTTGTTGTCCATCGTCAGACTGCGGACCTTCGACAGCCTGATCCCCAGAGCTCGATGCTGACCTGAGAACAGACACTGTTAGCATTCTGCATTTAAACCAATAGATCTGCTCGCAACATTAGCATTCCACAGACTATATTATTTACGGCTCAACACAGAAGGGTCACTCCTCCAACTCCTCAGTTTACTTACACCTGAAGGAGAAAGGACTCCTTCTTGAAGGAGCAGAGATGGTTGTGGATTTTAGGAACAGCCCAGCCCCACCCTCCCCGATAACCCTGTGTGACTCCACAGTCCTCTTCCTGGGCACCAGCATCACCAGTGGGTCATCAGACCCAGACTGGAAATCCCTAGTGCTCAATGTCCGAGATTGAGACAGGACCAGGTACGAATGCGGTCGAGTCCGAGACGAGACCAAGACCATCAAAAAAGGGCCTCAAGACCGGTCGAGTACTACAATACTACCTCTAGGACCTGTACGCCTCCAGGACTCTGAGGCGAGCAGGAAAGATTGCAGCTGACTCCTCTGCGGTCCATCAGGACCAAAACCTCTCACCAACAAGAACCAGGACCTCCACTGACTCTGATTCTCACGCCTTCCCAAACCTCTCCCTCCTTTTACCTTTCATTCTGTAACTGTTACACAATACACATCCGATGCACATGTACTTAACTGCAGTGCTGCATTTTAATATTTAGGGCATGAACCCTGCGAGGTCCCTATTTTCTTCTGCAAAGTAACCTCAATTTTGGTAAGTGCATCATGTCCAGACGCACAGAAAAGCCTCTTGGAACGATGCCCCACACCCAACGGAAAGTCGGCCATTTTGGATTTAATGGTCATTTTGGGGATTTGCACACTTTGTACTTTAACGAACTCCTCCTATGGAATTAGTCCGATCAACTTCACATTTTCGCTGTGCAGTCCAAAACCATTGACGAGTAAAAGTTATACAAACTGCGAGTTTTCATCCATGAGCATGCCCGTGGCGTGGCCTCAAAAAATGACGATTCGCTGAGAAATAGGAAATTGTTATAGTTTCAGTATACATGCTCCCATTTATACCAAATTTGATATGGATAATAATAGTCCCGCCCTCAACACATCCATCTGCCATCATTCACCGGCAGAGCTCCAGAATCTGCATCGTGGCCGCCTCACACCTCCACACGTAACACATGCGAGGGCCCGCCCAACGCTGCTTGCAACTTTAATTATATATTTTATTTTTATTGTTTAGCACCAAGTTACCAAAGCAAATGCTTTGTGTGAGGAAAACCTGCTTGGCAATAAAGCTGATTCTGATGTAGTGAGACAGCATTTTAACCCCCAAACCGCTCACCAGGGTTTACGCGGATATAATATGTGTAGCCCACGATGCTGCGTGTTGCGCGAGTGCAGCGGAGCAGAGGAAGCTCAGCTCCCGTGTGAGCCGTTTACAAGAACGTTGTCAATGTCGTCAGGCAGCTTCATGTGGCGTCGCCCGCCTACACTGAGGGCGTCCACTACAACACGTCAGCTCGCATCAGTTTAACAGAAAGAGCAGCATCTGTGTTTGTGATGGTGGTGTACCGTAACATGATACCGGCAAAACCTGTTCTGTGGTCACACAACTGTGCCTAGTCGTCTGATGACTCGTACGCTAAGTTGTAATCATGAGACTCTTCATCACATCCACAAATGATATTCATAAACACAACACAACAATTAGTGATGCACAAACGCACATGACGTGAACACGGGTGAGCTCGTACCTGCACAGGCCGGACAGATGACCAGCAGCAGGTTGACCGACGCCCACTCAGGATTGGCCGAGCCGCAGTCGGCGCACACTTTGTTGTCGGGGTTTTCCCACAAACGCATCATCACCTGGCTGCAGGACAGGGCGCTGAGGATATACGAGGACAGTTTGTCCATCCACATGGACAGATCCTTTGACGAATCAACAGACAGGCTGCAGACAAGGGGGCGGGGCCAAAGAGGAAGAACAGGGAGAAGAAAGAACATTAGGACTTAATGTTGCTATAGCAACAGACAGACAGACAGACAGACAGAAAAGACAGGTGTGTACTTGAAGCTCTTGTATGGCGTGATGAGGGAAAACGAGTGTTTCCCTATAGGCTTGACTGAGGCCACGTTCAGGGGGACGGAGAAGGAGGCGATGCCCAGCTGGAAGCCCTCCTTGTTGGGGTAAATCCAGAGGTCGTGACCCCAAACGGCGGCGTAGGCGCGGCTCCGCGTGTCCTTCATTGTGATTTGTCCGTGGAGCTCTGGGGGTGCGGGGCTTGGCCGGCCTCGAGACGCCAGCAGGGACGTGACCCAGCCTTCATGAACCTCTGAGAGACAAAATCCATGAAGAAGAATCATCAGATAAAGTACAGCAGAGACCAGGAGACAGCAGTAGAGTACAGCAGGGTACAGGAGACAGCAGAGACCAGGAGACAGCAGTAGAGTACAGCAGGGTACAGGAGACAGCAGAGACCAGGAGACAGCGGTAGAGTACAGCAGGGTACAGGAGACAGCAGGGACCAGGAGACAGCGGTAGAGTACAGCAGGGTACAGGAGACAGCGGTAGAGTACAGCAGGGTACAGGAGACAGCAGGGACCAGGAGACAGTGGTAGAGTACAGCAGGGTACAGGAGACAGCAGGGACCAGGAGACAGCGGTAGAGTACAGCAGGGTACAGGAGACAGCGGTAGAGTACAGCAGGGACCAGGAGACAGCAGTAGAATTCTTACCATCATTATGAGCCATGAAGTCATAATGTTTCTTCTTGAAGTAAATGGAGAATCTGCGTTTGTCCCCTTTCTTCACGTTGGTGATGCTGGAGACATGAAACAGCAACTCACTGAACTGGTCCTGGTGAACAAAACAAGCACACCCATCACTGTATGGACTGACAGAGAGACAGAGAGAGACAGTGACAGAGACACTGACTTACTGTGCGTTTTTTCCACAGAGACATCAGCTGTCCGTCCAATGTCGCCCATAAAACATTGTGTCTGTTGAGAGAGAGAGAGGAGTTAGTTTATCTATCAACCCTCTCATCCATCCATCCAGCCACCCCCTCGTTCATCCATCCTTCCATCCATCCAGCCACCCCCTCGTTCATCCATCCACCCACTTGTTCATCCATCCATCCATCCACCCCCTCGTTCATCCATCCATCCATCCATCCAGCCACCCCCTCGTTCATCCATCCATCCAGCCAACCCCTCGTTCATCCATCCACCCACTTGTTCATCCATCCAGCCAGCCACCCCCTCGTTCATCCATCCATCCATCCATCCAGCCACCCCCTCGTTCATCCATCCATCCATCCAGCCAACCCCTCGTTCATCCATCCACCCACTTGTTCATCCATCCAGCCAGCCACCCCCTCGTTCATCCATCCATCCATCCAGCCACCCCCTCGTTCATCCATCCATCCAGCCACCCCCTCGTTCATCCATCCATCCATCCATCCAGCCAACCCCTCGTTCATCCATCCACCCACTTGTTCATCCATCCAGCCAGCCACCCCCTCGTTCATCCATCCATCCATCCATCCAGCCACCCCCTCGTTCATCCATCCATCCAGCCAACCCCTCGTTCATCCATCCACCCACTTGTTCATCCATCCATCCATCCAGCCACCCCCTCGTTCATCCATCCACCCCCTCGTTCATCCATCCATCCATCCAGCCAGCCACCCCCTCGTTCATCCATCCATCCAGCCAGCCCCTCGTTCATCCATCCACCCCCTCGTTCATCCATCCATCCAGCCAACCCCTCGTTCATCCATCCACCCACTTGTTCATCCATCCAGCCAGCCACCCCCTCGTTCATCCATCCATCCAGCCACCCCCTCGTTCATCCATCCATCCAGCCAACCCCTCGTTCATCCATCCACCCACTTGTTCATCCATCCAGCCAGCCACCCCCTCGTTCATCCATCCACCCACTTGTTCATCCATCCAGCCAGCCCCCCCCTCGTTCATCCATCCATCCAGCCAACCCCTCGTTCATCCATCCACCCCCTCGTTCATCCATCCATCCATCCAGCCACCCCCTCGTTCATCCATCCATCCATCCAGCCACCCCCTCGTTCATCCATCCAGCCAACCCCTCGTTCATCCATCCACCCCCTCGTTCATCCATCCATCCATCCACCCCCTCGTTCATCCATCCATCCATCCAGCCACCCCCTCGTTCATCCATCCAGCCAACCCCTCGTTCATCCATCCACCCACTCGTTCATCCATCCATCCATCCATCCACCCCCTCGTTCATCCATCCATCCATCCATCCAGCCACCCCCTCGTTCATCCATCCATCCATCCATCCAGCCACCCCCTCGTTCATCCATCCATCCAGCCACCCCCTCGTTCATCCATCCATCCAGCCACCCCCTCGTTCATCCATCCATCCAGCCACCCCCTCGTTCATCCATCCATCCAGCCAACCCCTCGTTCATCCATCCACCCACTTGTTCATCCATCCAGCCAGCCACCCCCTCGTTCATCCATCCATCCACCCCCTCGTTCATCCATCCATCCAGCCAACCCCTCGTTCATCCATCCACCCACTTGTTCATCCATCCAGCCAGCCACCCCCTCGTTCATCCATCCATCCATCCATCCAGCCACCCCCTCGTTCATCCATCCATCCAGCCAACCCCTCGTTCATCCATCCACCCACTTGTTCATCCATCCATCCATCCAGCCACCCCCTCGTTCATCCATCCACCCCCTCGTTCATCCATCCATCCATCCAGCCAGCCACCCCCTCGTTCATCCATCCATCCAGCCAGCCCCTCGTTCATCCATCCACCCCCTCGTTCATCCATCCATCCAGCCAGCCACCCCCTCGTTCATCCATCCACCCCCTCGTTCATCCATCCATCCAGCCAGCCACCCCCTCGTTCATCCATCCACCCCCTCGTTCATCCATCCATCCATCCAGCCAGCCCCCCCCTCGTTCATCCATCCATCCATCCAGCCAGCCAGCCACCCCTCGTTCATCCAGCCACCCCCTCGTTCATCCATCCACCCCCTCGTTCATCCATCCATCCATCCAGCCAGCCAGCCACCCCCTCGTTCATCCATCCATCCAGCCAGCCAGCCACCCCCTCGTTCATCCATCCATCCAGCCAGCCAGCCACCCCCTCGTTCATCCATCCATCCAGCCAGCCAGCCACCCCCTCGTTCATCCATCCACCCCCTCGTTCATCCATCCATCCAGCCAGCCACCCCCTCGTTCATCCATCCACCCCCTCGTTCATCCATCCATCCATCCAGCCAGCCAGCCACCCCCTCGTTCATCCATCCACCCACTTGTTCATCCATCCAGCCAGCCACCCCCTCGTTCATCCATCCATCCATCCAGCCCGGAGGAGACATCAGTTCCAGAAGTTTCCGCTGAGGACGGCTATTGATGACGAATCAACTGCAGCATATCTGAAAATTGAAATTGATTACCTGAAGCCCTTCCAGACATCCAGCCAGCTGGATCTGACCACGGCGCCCTGCCGAATCGAACCCCTGCTGACCGGCTTTTTCCTGGACACTCGGATGGTGGCCGCTCTGCAGGACAAACACACTTTAACAGACTGAAGATTCTTCCCTTTCTAGCCGGAGTCAGACTCGTGTCCTGGAGGCCGGAGACACAACTGAAACAGCAGCTCTGAATCCAAGTCAATCCAACCTGGGAGGTGAGGTCAACAGGAACTGTCTAAAACTGTCCTATCATCATTCAAACCGCCTCGTTCACTCTCATTTATGAATATTTAGTTCCACAAAATAAAAGTAATGTAACCTGATTACTGTTAGTTACTTTTGGATTACTTGGACGCCAAATAGGCAAAAGAAGAGAGTCTCTACGATGCCTTTTCTGCTAAGTGGGTTTTTAGAGAAACATCCCGTGAAATCAAATCCATGTTTAATGTTTTTATGTGATTTGCTTTGCACTGTGTCCCACTGAGGCAGTATCTGGCCCATCAATGGCAAACATGTTTGGTAGCTATTCTTGATGATATCTAAGAGTCTGTCATTTGGAAAAGCATTTTAAGATGTTGATGACTCATTCTGCACTTGTTGTATTCATTTAGTTTCCAATGCAAAGATTCTCAATGTGACGCTGCTGAAGCCATCCTGTTTCTGGGGCCGGGCTTTATTTTAGTTTACTTAAATTTAGAATTTATTATTATTTATTATCCCTCCAGTTTGATGTGAAAACTGAGTCCGTTGTTGACTGAACACATGTTGATACAACTATACATTATGGTACTGAATGATAACGTAAGTTAGTCGTTATGATGTTCCAGACCTTTCTCTAACGGGACCTCTTTGAATTCTAATTGATTCTAATTCTGATTAGGTAACGCCGTTACATGTAATCCGTTCCTCCCCGACCCTGATCAGAATGGAAATGTGTTCATATCTGAGCATCTGCAGCTCTGAGGTTAAACTCTCCATTAAACACATGAAGCTAAATATCAGATTTACGTTCTGACTTTTCCAGAAGTTAACATTTATCAGAGCTCTACAGATGACGTCCCACTGTTCTCCACAGGATGATGACCATGCACTCTGACTGAGAGCTCTAACGGGCTCATTTTACACTTTTATTTTGATAAATGTTCCACTAATTTGAAACTTAACAGCCAATTTCTTGTCTAACAATAAAAGCAACTGTAGACTGGAAATCACACCAGCTGTAGATTTGGTTCATATCTGCCTCCATGTGAAATGCATCCTGGGATACTCGTCTACCCCCCTTTAGTATGTTCTTGTTTAAATCTGGACTTTGAATATGACTGATGACATTTCATAAGAGCAGACCGGAACAGACTGAGACTGATGTTGTGTTTGAGTGTGCATGTGTACCTCGGGATCTTCTGCTTCAGGGGCCTTGTTGGTTGGTCAGCAGCACGAGGAGGGGGCGGTGCCGCCCGAGTGGGGACCAGGCGACCTGAAGAATTCGACGTGAGGCTGAAAAACACAAACATCAGCGCTGTGTTAGTGGCGGATTCACCTCTTCGGTCTGAGAGGTGCACGGTCCGGTTCACCGAGGAATCGCTTCACTCCATTTAGGCGTTTAGAAGATGGAAATGTGAAAAAGCAGTAGACCGCTGTCAGGACAGTCCGGTGTCAGAAGAACAAGTTTCAGGTACTCATAACTGCTAGGTTAGCCACTTTCACTTCCTCTCATGCCAAGCGAGCTCTGCCACAGCAACTTATTTCTGTTCCCTAATCAGGAATCAGAAACACAACCTTTCTCTGTGACACGGCAGCCACACAAAGCCGTCTGTTAGCTGCTCGGTCATCATCCAACATCAACCAGGAAACCCATACGTACATCTATCTGACAAGGGCTCGACATGTGTCTACTAATGTCCAATGAGTACTACGGGTCTAATGTGTTTTGAAGTTTTGAAAGATTATGTCTAGGGATGGTGATGGAACAGTGGATAAGACACATGCCTTTGGTGTGAGAGAATCAGGTTTGAATCCACTGTGAGACACCACCAGAACACGTTTTAAAACAAGAGGTGATGGATCTTTCTGTGTGGTGGCTCCAAGGCTCTGGAACTCTCTTTCTTTAACCTTTAGAGCCTTAGACTCTGTAGAAGCTTTTAGAAAACATCTTTTTAGACAAGCGTTTAACCAGCCATATGGTTTTGTATTTTATGTGTTGTTGCTGTTTGTTTTATTTGTTTTATTTTATTCTATTTTTTACTGTGAAGCACTTTGTGACCCCTCTAGTCTGTGAAAGGTGCTATTTTCTGCTCCAGAGGCGTGCGACCTCTGACATGTATAGCAGCTGTAAGTCACTTTGGATAAAAGTGTCAGCTATATGAATAAATGTAAGTGTTATGTCCTCCCCTCATACAACTCATAGTGGTTCCATGTGGCAATGGAGCAGTGGCCTTTGGAGTTCAATTCCCACTGTGACACATCCATTAATGTGTCCCTGAGCAAGACTAGTTGCTCCTGAGTTGTGCGACCTCCGACCTATATAGCAAATGTCTCTTTGGATAAAAGCTAAGCATGTTAATGGTCCGCGGCAAACCTTTTTAAGACGGTCTGAGACTTAATATCTAAAAAGCAACAGAACTAGTGAGTTATACAGATGCCCACCCCCCAACAGCATCTGGGTTAAAAGATGTAGTGATATCAAATGTCTGCTATTGGTCCCTAACAATGTTGAGGCAGTTGGCATCTTTGGAGGCGGGCTGCAGGATGTCCATCCAATTAGAAGTTCGAGGATAGGATACTGATATTTTCTTTGTCATTTTTTTAATTGGCTGAACAAAAGACTTTTTTGGTTGGCCATAGCTACCGCCTCGATATCAATGCAGCTTTTGATCATTGTATATTTTATCATTGATTGTTTATCCTTTAATACTACATCAGACATTTCTAATGTGAACTAAGGAGTACCTCAGGACTCTGTTCTTGGCCCTCGGGTTTTCTCACTTATGTTTTATCTCTTGGCCAAATCATAAATCATAAGTCATAACGTATTAATGTCCACTGCTACGCTGACGATACTCAGCTGTATGTGGCTGTATAGGCAGATGAAGATCCAGAGAGAAATCTGGAGGCCTGTTTATCTGCTGTGAAATCCTGGATGTCAGGTAAACTGTGATAAGATTGAGGTGCTCGTAGTTTGCTTGTTAAACACTAGTTTGATCAAGTGACAGTAACTGATGACTGCAGGTAAATTCTGTCTTTTCGGTCCCTGGCAGATGCACAGATCCTATTTCATGCCTATGTTGATTTGATTAATGAAATATCTTATGGTCTGGCCTGCCGGTTGCTAAACCTAAGAGGCTTCACATGGTTCAGAATGCTTCTGCTACGATCTTAACTAAAACCAGGAAATTTGATCATATCCATATTGTAATTTTACTGTTGATCCACTCTGTACACACGACATCTGTATAAAAGTAGCTTATTCTAGAAGTAGTACTAGTTATTGTATACAGTATACATACTTGTTGGTGTTTAAAGACGGGTTAGAAGCAGGATCTCCTTCCGTTGGTCCATTGGCACCAGAGGGGGCGGGGCTAACTCCCACACCTTCCTCCTCATTGGATGAGTCGGTGTCAGCCTCGTCTTGGCTCGCCCAGCAGGCCAACACTGTGACGTAAGGGGTCTCCTTTCTGATGGGGTGAGGACTCTGTTTAAAAACTGGAACCAGAACAAACAAAGAGGCATCAGACTGGCAGGAGGATGAAGACCAGGACGAGACAGGACAAGTCTCACACCTTCAGTACCTTCCTCTGCTGGCTCAGCAGCTTCATCTAGTGAAGGTAACGTGACTCCTTCATCCTGGTCTAAAGTCGACATCACCAGCTGTGACAAAGCTCCAACATCTGGACACGTGTTCAAAACAGAAACACAGAAAGCATCAGCCAATCAGAAGGGAGAGTGTCGGTTTGTTTAGGGCTGTTGGGCCAATGACTGTAACGTATGTTCCATGTGTATCCTCTGAATTAAACCTTAACTCTTTCATATGACCTCGAGTCAGACCTGACTAACAGAAGATAAAACAATTCAATTCAATTTTCAATTCAATTTTATTTATATAGCGCCAAATCACAACAACAGTTATCTCACAGCGCTTTTCATAAAAGAGCAGGTCTAGACCGTACTCTGTGAAAACAAAAGATGAACAAAGCTAAACTAAAATCAGATCCTTGCCTCAGTTCCGACTGACTGATGAAGTGATGCACTGACTGATTGCTGTACCTGTGTTAGCGTCTCCCATCCTTGGCGTTGAGGGGGGGCAGGGTTTATCAGCAGAGGGCAGCGTGGCTGGTGGGATGGCCGGGGTTATCACTGAGCTAACGGCTGGGTTAGCCACACTGCTAACAATGCCTGCTAAACTGGGTATGTTAGCTAATGAGCTAAAGATGCTGTCTAAGCTAGCAGCACCTGTGCCAGAAGCAGGTGTGAGTGTGGTGGTGGAGGCGGAGATTAACTCCGCAGCAGCTGGGTAAGCCACGCTGCTAGCTGCTCCTGCTAAGCTAGGTATGTGGGCAGCGATGTTATTAGCCATGCTGTCTATGGAGGGGGGTGCCAAGGGGGCAGAGGGGATGGGGGCGGAGCCACAAATAGAGGTGGCAAATCCAGCCAATGACGGGATATTGGTGGCGATGAGGTCAGTGACGCTGGCCAGAGTAGGGTAGATGCCACGGTCCGATCCACCGAGAGGAGGAGAAGGAGCATCTTGATCTGAGGAGGACAGAGTGACATCATCAGACATCAGCTGATAGGCTGACACACAGACAGAAAATCTCCAACTACAAATACAGTCACTACAGTTCTTACACAATACGAGTCAGATTACAATCATTCAGCTGTCAGACTGAGGAGAGACTTTCACAGTAAAAAAGTCACATTGACGTGGTAATAAAGTGTGAGGCCGGAGTTTTTCTATATTTCATCAACAACAGTCTGACTTCCTGCTTGTGGCTCTGAGCTGCGAGCCCACTTATTCCTCCTGAAGACGTCAATCTTTTAATTGCTGTAGTTTCTCTCAAACAGGAGGAAATGGTGCATCTGTTGGGGAATATTTGGGGCAGCAGGACGGTGAATGTGGGACTGAGTCAGAATAAACTACAGTGTTCATGGTGATGAACGAACATGAGGCTCACTGATGGGTTTAATAGCTTCTATGGCTCAGAGGAGAGGAGACATCAAACTGATGTTTACTGCTGGTTTCAGTCTGAACGCTTAAAGACAAGAATGTGTGGTCGACCTGATCCCAGTCAAGAGGAGGTTAGCTTCAGAATCTACCTCCACTGTAAAAGAATCTTATTTTAATTGGAGTGAGGGAATCTGAAAGTTCAGTCTGTGTGTCGGAGCAGCAGCTGCATGTGACCTGAGATTATATCATCAGCAGTCAGAAGACAAACAGGTTGGAGATAATCAAAGAACAACAACAACAACAACTTCAATCTGCTGGAACAAACCGGTTTGACTGTTTGAACGGAAACACGCTGCAACACGTCAGAGTGAAACTGAACTGAAACTAAACTCTGGTACAAAGGTTACATTCTTTTAGTCTGACTTCTAACGAGAGGCTGAGATCATTTAAAGTTGAATTACTGACAATAAACTGAAGAAAAATCAAACTTCAGTCAGAGTGACAATAAAATTGGTTCAGGAGACTGCTTTCAGCTCCAACTCTTCACATTCAATTCAGTTTTATTTATATAGCGCCAAATCACAACAACAGTTATCTCACAGCGCTTTTCATAAAGAGCAGGTCTAGACCGTACTCTGTGATGATATTTACAGAAGCCCAACAGTTCCCACCAAGAGCAGCACTAGGAGACAGAGGCAAGGAAAAACTTCCTTTAAGAGGCAGAAACCTCGAGCAGAACCATGGCTCAGGGTGGGCGGCCATCTGCCTCGACCGGTTGGGGGTGAAGGGGGGGAGAGAGAGAGAGAGAGAGAGAGAGAGAGAGAGAGAGAGAGACTACACAATATCCACACAGAGGTACAGACAGTAAAGGTGATGTTGCTATAGACTAAATGAAAAATGGTACAGATATTTATAGTAGTGTTAATGATAATCACATCACACTTCAGTGATAGTCACTGCTGCTCCTTTCAGTGTGAACCAGCTCTGCAGCTCCAACACATCACTTCCTGTTCGAAGACGTCTGAACCTTTTAAAAGTTTCAGTTGAGCAAACCTTTGTCTTTTGGCAATAAAAGAAAAGTCAGCAGCAGTGACAGGTGGAAAAATCCTGCTGATGTCACTGTGACACCTTCACTTGTCTCTCATCCAATCAGGACACCTGATCACCGTGGGCTGACAGTAAATTCACCAGAGTGACGTTAAGTGTGCGTGAGTGTGCGTGAGTGTGCGTACCTGTGCTCAGGTGAACTCCATTAGAGAGCACTGCATGTTCATCTTCACCAATCAGCTCTCTGAAACACAAACTTCATTCCTCATACTTCCATACTATACGATGAGCAGATTTCTCTTTTAAACTATACATTTTTGTTCATTTCTACATTGAAACAGGAGAACAAAAAACAAGATCATCAAGATTACAGAACATGTTTGTTTTCATTCTATTATCAAAAAGGATGACTATAAATCTGGTTTCTTGGGTTTAAACGGTTCTCAGTCCAAACACATTTAACATTATGTCATATATCACATATTTTTCCCCATTTAGCAACAGAGACATTTTCTTTCAGTCAAAGTTGGTGGGTAATTTTTGCCATGTTATCAATCTGTCTTACAGTTCCCATCCATTGTTCTATGGTGGGGGTCCCGTCCTGAACCAATTTATAGTTTTGCATTCCTTTGGTTTTCATAGCCCAAAATATCTTCTGTTCTTGCACTGACTTTATCCCAAAATGAGTGCATTTTAGGGCATTCCCCAAAATATGGATATGATTTAGGGCTGGACAATAAAACAACAATAATTACTGCAATATAATCGTTTTCAATAACAATATAACAAATGTTCAATAAATATTCAATCTATGTTTGATTGTGTTCGCTTGAATCATACACAAATTAGGACTTTTTTTATTAAGATGTTTATTTTGTCGAGAAAAAGGGACTGAAAAAAGCTTTTACTTAATTTTACTGATGCATTTTTGTTGACAAAGACTTTATCACAATTGTTTTGAATGGTCTACCTCAGATTTGTGTGTCTTGTGTTTGGAGTCCTGTGATAAATTCTGTTTGATCTTCATTGATTAATTCTGTCATAAATTTCTGGCATCTCTTTGCTATAATGGATGTATCGTGTAGTCCAGATTGAGAACAGAGATGGGTCTGTAGTTGCTCCAGTATTCTGTGCGTGAGCAGATTGAAGGTTTGTTCTGTAGATCCACAGGTGGACTCACCTGTCCAAAGAGGAGAGGGAGCTCACGCTGTCCCTCATGTAGCGAGCTCGAGGCTTCGGGACGGGAGGTGGAGGAGGCTGAGTCATCTGGAGGACAAGATGAAAACTTACTGGATCAATATCAGGAAGCATCATCGTCTTCTATAGCAACAAATGTCCTCAACACACCTGAGTGGACACCTGGAGACTGACAGTGTAAAAGGTGAAACCAGGTAAACAATGAGCAACAGATCACGTATCGATCCAGCATCAGCGTGTCAGTTTAATGAACCAATAACTGATGTTGGCTGCTGCGACCAATCAGCTCTTTGGATCAAACAACTCACTGACAGCAGGAGAAGATGTCTGACACGTCTGGTCTAACCCCAGATCAGGGTCAGACTGAGACCTGAGACCTGACCCTGTCTGTAGTGACAGCAGCTTGCCTTTAGGGGGCAGCACTTCCTGTTCCAGAAGTGGCTCCTGTGGAGAGGGTAAAAAACCCAGAGGCGTTCAGAGCACTCTGCGATCTAAAACACGAGGCTGAAATCTAATCTGTAATTAACAGTTTCACTTTTATTTTGTATGTTTTCAATCGTTCAACTTTTAATCTCGTGCACGGATCATCAAACATCCGGAGACACCAAACAGGTTTAAGCTGCATTCCCAGAGCTCTTCTTTAATGATTATATTCTAACTATTAGAAACAAAATTCACCAAGACCTGCCCTCTGGCACCGACTTATCTCTAAACTCAGCTTCATCCAAATCGTCAACCTCTTAGGCCCCGCCCACTCTGCTGCGTTTCGGTTTTGCTGCGTTTGCGCCTCCTGTCCAGACTAAACCTCCGAAAACAAAGACCTTAAACGGAGAAGTTTGGAAACGCTGCCCCGTTTTTTCGTTTTACTGCGGGTAGCGCTTTAGTGCGGACAGGAAACAACGGGGGACTTTAGAAACGATGACGCAGACGCTCTGCTCTCTGATTGGCTCTCATAAGTCATGCAAAGCAGAAACACGATGCTGCTGACAGTTGTTGACTTGGTAGTTTTATTAAAATATTTTGTACCGTGAAAATAACAGTTACAGCCTCCACTTGTACGTATCTGTTTCCCGTGTTACATTCAGTAACAGTCCCAGCTCGTTATTGGTCCATGCAAAATAAAATCTGCTCCGATTCTTTGTCTGCATTTCTTTATTCTTTCTCCAAATCTTCTGTAACTGCAGAACAGACAATCTGCTGCATGTTTACACCGGCAAACGCCCAGTGTACCTGAACGGCCACTAACTGTGTGTTTTCAGTCGTTTTAATGTAGACGGAGATCAACTCTGATATGCAGCTAAAACGCTGCTGTGGACGGAGATCGTATTCAAATTTGTATTTGAAGATACTAGTATGTTCAACCTAGTCCAGTTGCCGTTGACCTCAACCTTCGCTGGACACGTCTTTAAGAGATACGATCAGTCTGTTATTCACAGGCTATGTGCCAGAGTACTTTAAAGTAGCTGTGAAAAGATTCCCAGCCAGGCGGCTCGAAGCAGCAGCAGGGCAGTGAAGTAAAAGGTCCATTATTTCCCTCTGAGATGTAGTAAGTGTAGTAAGTACCATTAACAGTCTACTTGCAGTTTGTTTAAAAGCAACAAAGCACATGTAATGAAGTTGTGATCGATGAAGACATCTGTTAAAGTTTCGCAACATGAAGGTTTTTCATCAAGTAACAAATACTATAACAGTGATTATGTATTGTGGTAATCATGTATTTTGCAGTATTGTACATACTGTAATCAGTGCAGTGTCTCTGTGTGTTAGAGCACTAAGCTGCCAACAATGAGGTCGTGGGTTTGAATCCCACTGAGGTCACATTAAAATCTCACACCATCGTGACAGTAAAAGCTATTTTAACAGTAGAGACCAAACTCCTAACCACAGTTCTGCAGGAACTTTCTATGAACACGATGCATTTTCATGTGAAACAAGTCTTTCTTGTGTGAATAGTAACCATAGCAACAGAACAAAAACCAAGTTCTCTTATGTCAGATAAATGTAGTGGAGTATAAAGTACAGTATTTGCCTCTGAAATTAAATAAAAGTAGTATTAAATGGAAATCCTCGTACGCAACAATGTACTGAGATTAGTACATTTACTCAAGTACGTAACAGTACCTGAGTAAATGTACTTCTTTCCGTTCCCCAGCTGGCCAGGACACCAGCAGAGCCAGTAAATCCCTCCTCCGCTCTCTGATCCAGTACCTGTGTTTACAGCTGGGTGTGGTGCTCAGGTGTGTGACAGCAGCTGTTCTCCACCACCTGCTGTTCTCCACCACCTGCAGCAGCAGCTCTGCTTTGATGAACTCGTTACACAAACAAGATCCCTGCACATTTACTCATGTTTCACAGTTCAAACAAACATTGTCCCTTTACATGATGGTACGCAGCGGCGGATGAAGTATTCACATCCTTTACTTAAGTAAAAGAACTGCATTGAAATGATACTGAAGTAAAAGTATGCAAGTATAGTCAGGAAATGGTACTTAAAGTATTAAAAGTACTTCATGTTCTGTGACTGTTGTACTGATAATTATTGCAATATCAATATAATAAATGTTCAATATATCGTCAATAAATATTTGCTTTAATTCATTTGAGTCACAAACAAATTAGCTTTTAATTTTTCTATTAAAATATTTATTTTGTTGAAAAAGAGGCCTGAAAAAAGATGAACTAATCATATTTGTTGAAAAGAGATTTTATCAGAATATCTTTGACTGTTCTCCCTCAGATCTGATCTGTCAGGCATCAAGTGTTTGTCCCGTTCTGACCATGAAGAAAAGTTGAACCTTCTGGTTTCTTCAGTTTTCAGTCAGGAGCAAAAATCTGCCTGTAAACCTGATAATTGATGTGAAATGTTTTTAGCGTGATAACATTTCTGCCCTGCCTACCATTATATATTATATTATTCCTCCTCCTCATGAATGTAAAGCAGGATGTTGCTGCTGCAGCTGCTGATTCTTTCCATTCTGGATCAATCAGCTGATTATTTTCCACATTAATGGATTGAAACCTTCTGAAAACAGAGAGATATGTTGTGGCAGTGACTCAGAGAGACTCCTTCACCCTGTTTGTTCTGGCAGCTTAAACCTCAAACTGATTCAAATAATCAAAAGCAGCAAATCCTCACATGAAAAATGACTTTAAGGATCATCAGAATAGTTTACAGGTAAATTTCTATCAGCTGAACTTTCTAAACTGTTGGAGTTTAATTTCTAACTAAACTTCAGATTTTATAAAGTCTTCATGTGTAAAAGTCTGACTTTGTAACTGAAGCTGTCAGATAAATGTAGAGAAGTGAAAATATCTGCCTCTGAGCTGGAGAAAAGAAAAGTGTCCAGCTGTGTTTTCACCGACAGTAACGAGCTTCTGGCTTCTGGCTGCGGAGTCAAAGTCAAAGTTTGTCGTTACCTTCCGGTTCTGTCAGGAAAGTCAAATATCCAGAGGAAAGACTGAAAATAAGAGTAACGTGTGCGCGCTCACCGTGCGGAGCTCCTCCGTGCTGCGTCCAACACCTGAGACACCTGCCGAGCTGTCAAACTGCCTGTTCCGGGGTCAGAAAACACGTTCACGTCCTGCTTCAGCTCCAGCTGCACTCATAAAACCTGCGCGGTCAGGTGGTCTCTCAGCAGGTGTCTCTCAGCAGGTATGTTCCGGTGGGTTCTAGCTCTGATTAAAGGGTTAACCCTACAGGTGAACCACGTGACTGCGGACCGTGTGCTGCTCTGATGGCGGGATGAATCTGATGTTACCGGATGGGACTCCGGTTCTGTGAGTCTGCGTCAGTCACTGATCTAATATAACAGCGTCACGTGCAGCGGGGACACACCTGTCCCCCTGAACGTCCATCCGGATCACGAGTTTTACCTGGGAAGGTTTTGCAGCGCACGCAGTGAAACGTCACCGGTTTAACCTGCTGCAGGAATGTGGGCGTGTCCTTGTAGAGTGTTGACGTGTGTGCGGCTGAACTTTGACCTGTTAGAGTCTCTCGGATTCTCCGCTGCTGAAAAACTCTTTCCCAGTGACCCAGAGCCCAGAGAGACCCCTTCACACCATGAAAAATGACTTCAAGGAATTTCAGTCAATCAGCTGATGGACCAGCTGAACTTTATGAACTGTAGGAGTTTAATTTATTTCTAACTAAACTTCATATTTTATAATCTGACTGTAAAGTAGCTGAAGCTGTCAGATAAATGTAGAGAAGTAAAAATATCTGAGCTGGAGGAGAAATACTCAATTAAAGTACAAGTACTTGAGTAAATGTACTTCAAGCTGCTGTTTCCTCTCTCCTCCAGCAGGCGGCAGTGTGAGAGCGTTTAAACGGTTTGTGTCTGTTCCAGGTCACTGATCCAGCTGTTAGTTTGGTATTTAAAGTTTATTTGCAACCCAGTTATACTGATCATCATCATCATCATCATCATCCTCATCATCATCATCCTCATCATCCTCATCATCACTCTGCTGTCAGCTTCTCAGCAGCTCAGATTAAAGATGTGATGCTGCAGCTCTGACCTGGATCAGATGCTGGGTCAGATGCTGGATCAGATGCTGGATCAGATACTGGGTCAGATGCTGGATCAGATGCTGGATCAGATGCTGGATCAGATGCTGGGTCAGATGCTGGATCAGATGCTGGATCAGATGCTGGATCAGATGCTGGGTCAGATGCTGGGTCAGATGCTGGATCAGATGCTGGGTCAGATGCTGGATCAGATGCTGGATCAGATGCTGGGTCAGATGCTGGATCAGATAATGGATCAGATGCTGGATCAGACTGAGGACAGCTGAGAGGCCCCGGCTGATGATCAGGAGGCAGAAAACTGGCTTTTTGCTTCAGACACAAACAGAAAATCAGCTGTTTCTCCGTCTCATAAAGCCGTCGGGTTTCTGTAAATAATCTTACAGAGAGTTCGGTTTAAAAAGTTCTGCAGTTTCAGTCCCAATCTAACTGGAAGTACAGACAAATGAACGTGGACTCGTTTCTTGAAAGGCAGCCTCTGTCTGTCGCCTGGTTTCTTTCCCAGCTTGTTAATGAAGAGACCGACCGGTTTTGATCTCGCTGGCTTGAGAGCAGCAGGAAATTCAGCATTTATCATTCAGAGTTTCTGTCTACAGACAGTTGTTATGGTGATCAGGGCGGCCCTGACGGAAGATGCTCCTGGTGGACTAGCAGTCTCTAGGTCCTTCAGTCGACTAGTCTTCACACGTCTCTTCATGATTTCAGATCCAGGACACCATATCGTGGTGGGGACGTTTGTGTGTCCCTATGAACCTGGTGCTCCTGGTAGGGTCTCCCATGGAAAACTGATCTCAGGTCAGGGGCCACATATAAGAGCAGGAATTATTCAGCCCGGAGGAAGCTCGGGGCCCCGTCAGGAGCCGGGCCCAGAGGGAGGGCTCGTCGGGGAGCGCCTGGTGTCCTGGTTTACCACAGAGCCTCTTCTGAGGACAGGACCTGGTTTCGGGTCGGTACGGTAATGTTAACTAAGGGAGGAGGCTCAGCAGCTAGCAGCAGTACTGGAGCCTTCAAAAGGTCCCAGAGCAGCTGACAGGCAGAGTAGAGCCTGTATTCTGTTGCAGAGTCTGACCTGAAGAGAGGCTGTGAAGTCTGAACTGTACTGAACTGGAGCCAGGATACACATGTGACATACAGAATGGACTGAACCTACAACACGTTACATGTGTCATTAAAAACATGTTGGGGAAATGACTTTGTTCTGGGATTCTGGGGACCTTCGGGTAAAGAACATTTAGTAAATCTGGCTGCGTCATCACTATTTATGTCTGTATCATGTGTTTATGATCAAATTATTCAGCAAACATCTGGCCTCTGAATTTTGCTCTCATAGTGGACCAGAGTAACAAAGTTAGCCCAAAGGCTCCAGGGTCCACCCACCGTAGTCTCACACTGTCCTGTGGGACACTGAAGGACCTGGCGGGGCATCAGGTCTTCAGGGTACACTGGCACAAAGTTCTTGAAGGACTTCTGCAGGTGGGTCGGCCCAGACCTCTTGGAGAACTCCCCACAGTCCTTCTGTGGATTCAGGCGGCCTCAGCTGCTTCTCCCTCTCCATGTGGTCCCAGACAGACCGGATGCTGTTGAGATCAGGGTTCTGGGGGGCCACACAGGGCTCTGGGGGGCCACACCGTCACTTCCAGGACTCCTTGTTCTTCCATAAGCTGAAGATAGCTCTTAATGACTCCCACCGTGTGTTCGGGCTCGTTATCAGAGGCCTCCCTGATGGAAGTGCATGATGGGTAAGGATCTGCCTGAACCTCTGAGCACTGAGCAGACCGTTCATTCTGGCCACATCCCAAACCTGCAGGACCCTCCGCCGTGCTTCATGCTGCCTGCAGACTCTCATTCTTGTTCGGCCCTCTGCTGCAGCCAGATGTTTCACATGTGGACTCACCTGCTGCCCAGGTCTCCTCAGCGCTGCCTTGGACAGCACATGTGGAGACCCGTGTGTTCCTGCTGATGCAGAATGATGGTGTCTGACTGGAAGCTGTCTTCTGCAGCCTCGCCGCTCCTCCTACACAGCTGCTTCTGTTTCACCTAATGATCAGGCTGATTTTATGATCATTAGCACCTGTTTGCTTTAATTGTTTCATCAAACACCTGATGATATGTGCAGCTGGACCTAGAAGAACTGATGCTGTTTGAAGGCAAAGCTGCTCGCACCACATAGTGATTCAGAATTTTCTTCTGTTCACTCACCGTGTTTTGTTAATCGATAAATCTATGAATCTATTTTTATTTAATTACATCATTACGGTGATGATGTTTTACACACCAACAGTTTAAACCCCCCCGAGGCCTGCTGGGCTCCAGGAGGAGGATCTGAAGGAGGAACTGGTCTGACTGAGGAGACGGGTTCTTCTAAACCTCGGAGGTTTCCGATGTTTCAGAGACATTTCCTATTTTTTATGAACCAATAAACAGTCTGTGCAACCACTGAAACCATTTAGACCCTCCAACTAGTGGACCCGCTCTGTCCCCTGCTACACCTGCAAGAGGCTTAATTCTTTCCCATCCTGCTTTTTACCTGTCTCACCTGCTGTCTCACCTGCTGTCTCACCTGCTGTCTCACCTGCTGTCTCACCTGACTGACCTGTCTCACCTGACTGACCTGTCTCTCCTGCTGTCTCACCTGACTGACCTGTCTCACCTGACAGACCTGTCTCTCCTGCTGTCTCTCCTGCTGTCTCACCTGCTGTCTCACCTGACTGACCTGTCTCTCCTGCTGTCTCTCCTGCTGTCTCACCTGCTGTCTCACCTGACAGACCTGTCTCTCCTGCTGTCTCTCCTGCTGTCTCACCTGCTGTCTCACCTGACTGACCTGTCTCTCCTGACAGACCTGTCTCTCCTGCTGTCTTCCTGCTGTCTCTCCTGACAGACCTGTATCTCCTGCTGTCTCTCCTGACAGACCTGTCTCTCCTGCTGTCTCTCCTGCTGTCTCTCCTGACAGACCTGTCTCTCCTGCTGTCTCACCTGCTGTCTCTCCTGCTGTCTCACCTGCTGTCTCTCCTGCTGTCTCTCCTGACAGACCTGTCTCTCCTGCTGTCTCACCTGCTGTCTCTCCTGCTGTCTCACCTGCTGTCTCTCCTGACAGACCTGTCTCTCCTGCTGTCTCTCCTGCTGTCTCTCCTGCTGTCTCTCCTGACAGACCTGTCTCTCCTGCTGTCTCACCTGCTGTCTCTCCTGCTGTCTCACCTGCTGTCTCTCCTGACAGACCTGTCTCTCCTGCTGTCTCTCCTGCTGTCTCTCCTGCTGTCTCTCCTGACAGACCTGTCTCTCCTGCTGTCTTCCTGCTGTCTCACCTGCTGTCTCTCCTGCTGTCTCTCCTGCTGTCTCACCTGCTGTCTCTCCTGCTGTCTCTCCTGACAGACCTGTCTCTCCTGCTGTCTTCCTGCTGTCTCACCTGCTGTCTCTCCTGCTGTCTTCCTGCTGTCTCTCCTGCTGTCTCTCCTGCTGTCTCTCCTGCCAGGTTCCTCTGTTCCTTAAAGAAGGTCTCAGCCATCCTGAACATGTCATTGGTGTAGTGCTGTCCACCATTAGCTGTGACCATCTCATCTACTGTGTTCAGGAACTTTCTAACCTGCTCTCTGCTTCTGCTGGCTTTGTTGTTAAACACACAGTATCTACCACCACACATGGAGACCAGGTCTGACACACATCTGCTGGACCGGATCAAATCCTCAATGGACCGACCGCCTAGCTGGTCTCCATGAGTGAAAAGCACCATGGAGTACTGAAGAGCAGTTTGGGAAGTAACTCAAACAGTTTTATTTGGGCTTTAGAGATTCTGTCTAACTTCACAAAGATGATGAGGGCATGTGGTCCTGGA